AGTAACATATCATTCGTGATTTTATCGGGGCCAGGGGATTGGTTGGATTTCAGCTGGTTAAGTCCTGTATTAAGTTCACTCATTGAGAATTTATCTGTCATGATGCTCTCTGTTGGTTTACTCTTGCTGGCCTCCTCGAGTTCTTTTATTCTTTGTACTACCTCATCTTCTCTGGACTTTTCTTTATTAATATCACTAACAGATTTAAACTGATTTAAAAGGATATTTGCAGCATCGTTTCCAGATCTGATCTCATTGCCCTCATTTATTACTATTGGATTGGCTTGTTGGGCTTCTCCATTTAGACACTTGACTAGTTTCCAGAGTTTGGACCCATCTTTTTCAAAACTTAGGCTCTTGGTTTTGTCTTGCCAGCTCTTCCTAGTTGCTTGAAGTGTTTCTTTTTTTAGCTTAGCTTCTGCTGCTTTGTAAGCAATGTTGTTTTCTACCGTTGGGTTGCTTTCTACTCTATCTCTTGCTTCTGAGAGAGTTTGGTGGAGGTCTTGAATTTGTTGGGACCAAAATGGGATGTAATCTTTCCTTGAACCCCGAGGTATGCTTTCTTTGGCTGCTTTTAATATAGCTTCTGTAAACTCTTTTACTGATTTAGCAACCTGACTTGATTTGCCGTTTACATTTATCGAGTATACATCAGCAAGGTTAGCAAAACTGTTCCAGTCAGCTTTCTTGTAATTCCAACGAGGGGGCGGCATCGAATGAAGGCCTCTCATATTTAGAACAGAAATCAGGATCGGTCGGTGGTCACTACCTGCTAGTTGGCTGAGCACCATTTTATGTATGTTGCTTGCTAAGTCTAACGTGGCAAATGTTAAGTCTGAGCGGCTGGTTGAAAGCCATCTCCTGGAGAAAAAAGATGGGAAGTCATCTGGTTTGTTGATTAGCTGGAGTCTGGCATATGTCTGCCAGTCCTCCACTTCTTCTCCTCTGTCGTTGAGCTGTGAAAATCCACAGCTTGGAGAGCAGCTGTTAAAATCTCCTCGAACGATACTGAATGCTCCTCTACATAAACAGTTGTCTGAATGCTCCTCTACTTATACATAAACAGTTGTCTGAATGCTCCTCTACTTATACATAAACAGTTGTCTGAATGCTCCTCTACTTATACATAAACAGTTGTCTGAATGCTCCTCTACTTATACATAAACAGTTGTCTGAATGCTCCTCTATTTATAAATAAACAGCTGTCTGACAGCTCCTCTACTTATACATAAACAGTTGTCTGAATGCTCCTCTACTTATACATAAACACATCTCTGAATGCTCCTTTCATCATCAACAGGTGCCTTGCCGACTGGCGTGGGCGATCATGCCTCTCCATAATCTGCGATCTCCTGCAGCATGTATCAGTTCGACACACATCTATGCCATGCAACAAGACTGTCAAGCATCTTCTCTCATTCTCTTTCTCTATCCCTCCTTACACAGATCTTTCCAGTGGTCACAACATGTTCTATTTTCACTTTTCTCATAACAAGGCTGAAAAATGATGACTGTCTGTGATAAGTTGTCTTCGGGCTCCTGCCTCTCTCAAAACCTCTTGGCTGCTCTTTTTGGCTAAGCATTCTTCTGTAAAACCACATCTCTGAGGCCTCAAGAAATTGTTTGGCCTTCCTACCGACTGTCCAGGATTTACAGCCATATGTTAAAAATGGATGTATGTAGCAAGCAAGAATTCTTTTTCTAACTCTCAATGAAAAGGATATATTGCACAAGATGTTTTTCATTTTATAAAATGCAGTTTTTGCCTGTCCTATTCTGTTTCTTATCGCAGTTATGCATCTTCCATCTGATGTTATCCATGTGCCTAGATACTTAAATTTCTGTACTTGCCCTAAAATAACACCATTGACTTTTATTACACATTTAGGAATAATTTGTTTCTTTGATACCACCATTACTTCTGTCTTTCCATTATTCAAACTGAGGCCCATTATTCCACTTTCTAACACCACAATGTCTATCATTTCCTGTAGTTCTTTCTGACTTGTTGCTATCAAGACTGTCATCAGCATAACGTGAATTGTTTATATTGTGCCCACCAACCACAATTCCGGGCATATCAATTAAAAATCTCATTATATATTCACTGTATATTGAAAACAAATCTTGTCGTACGCCCATCTTTATGCTCCTCTACTTATACATAAACAGTTGTCTGAATGCTCCTTTATTTATAAACAAACAGCTGTCTGAAAGCTCCTCTACCTATACATAAATAGCTGTCTGAATGTTCCTCTACTTATACTTAAACAGCTGTCTGAAAGCTCCTCTACCTATACATAGATGTCAGAATGTTCCTCTATTTATTCATAAAAAGATGTCTGAATGCTCCTCTACAAATACATAAATAAATGTCTGAATGCGTCTCTACTTATACAAAAACACATTTCTGAAAGCTCCTCTACTTATACATAAACACATTTCTGAAAGATCCTCTACTAATACATAAACACATTTCTTAATGCTCCGCTACTTATACAAAAACAAACGTCTGAATGCTCCTCTACTTATGCATAAACAAATGTCTGAATGATCCTCTACTTATACATAAACAGTTGTCTGAATGCTCCTCTATTTATAAATAAACAGCTGTCTGAAAGCTCCTATACTTATACATAAACAGCTGTCTGAATGCTTCTCTACTTATATATAAACAGCTGTCTGAATGCTCCTCTATTTATAGATAAACAGATGACTGAAGGATCCTCTACTTATACACAAGCAGAAGTCTGAATGCTCTTCTACTTATATATAAACAGATGACAGATGACCGCTGAATGCTCCTCTTCTTACACATAAGCAAATGTCTGAAAATTTCTCTGCTTATACACAAATAGACATATGAATGCTCATCTGCTTATAAACAAATAGACATATGAATGTTTATCTGCTTATATACAAACAGACATATAAATGCTCATCTGCTTATACACAGACAAATGAATGTTCATCTGCTTATACTCAAATAGACATACAAATGCTCATCTGCTTATATACAGATAAATATATAAATGCTCATCTGTTTATATACAGATAAACATATAAATGCTCATCTGTTTAAACACAGATAAACATAAAAATGTTCATCTTTTTATATACAGATAAACATATAAATGCTCATCTGTTTAAACACAGATAAACATAAAAATGTTCATCTTTTTATACACAGATAAACAAATAAATGCTCATCTGTTTATACACAGATAAACATAAAAATGCTCATCTGCTTATACACAGATAAACATATAAATGCTCATCTGTTTATACCCAAATAGACATATAAGTGATCATCTGCTTATACACAAATAGACATAAGAATGCTCATCTGCTTATACACAGATCAACATATAAATACTCATCTGCTTATGCACAGATAAACATATGAATGCTCATCTGCATATACATAAACAGATGTTTGAATTCTTTGAGCCCTCTACTGATACACAAATAGATGTCTGCATATTCTGATCCCTCACACACACATCTGTCTAGCAGTTCTGATCCCACTATTACTCAAAAAACCGCTGTCAGATTTCTGGTCCATCTATATATATATATATATATATATATATATATATATATATATATATATATATATATATATATATATATATATATATATGCATCATTGTCTGATGTGCTGATCCCTCTACTTAGAAAATGAACAGATGTGAGAAGGATATCATGATGGTTGTATTGTGATTTTATGAAGATTCATATAATGAATATTCAATTATTTAAGATTCTTGAATAAGAAATGAACATTCACATTGTTAGAAACATCTTTTGTCATAGAGGTGCAGTTGTCAACTTTAAAATGTAAACAATATTTAAATACAACAGCAAAATGCAATTAACTTGACTGTGTGTGTGTGTGTTAACACAGAGAACAGTAATAAATATGATCAGCACTGTATCATCCATACACACAGAGAAATTACTGTCAACTTACATCATTCTTTCTCTTTACGTTTGGATATTTTAAAAAACTAAATCTTTTCTGATCTTTCATGTACTAGATCATGTACCTCCATTTCTTCATGCATCTCTTGTGTACAATGACAAGTGTTGCTGTTCTCTTCTGCTACAAAAGGGAAATCTACATTTTGACACTGTTAATGATGGACCCCCACATTTACTGACCCTTTAAGTCATTCAAGCTCCATAAACCAAACAATGATTCCATTTTCTGTTGTCCATTACCACTAACAAGTACTGATCCTTATCCTTATAGTCATTATGTTATTTTGCATTAAAGGGAAATAAATTTAGATAAAATAGTGTTTTTTACATAAGAAACTTGAGGAGCAGAAAATGATAACACAATGTATATGCATCACACATCTTGTAGGAGAAACACTAGTTGTACATACCACTGAGAGTTAAGACTTTCAAACAATCTAAATCACAATGGAAGTAATTACTAAGCAAGGCAGAGAGTTTAGTATGCTTTACAATGTGCACAAAGTTACGCAGTATAATACGTTATGGCTGAAAGAATTAGGGAAGCACTTCTATTGAACCCTGTGCCCACCTCCCCACACACACACACACACACACACACACACACACACTCGCAGATACAAAAACACACATATACATACACTCACCCATACACCCATGAACTCACACACACACACATATATATATATATATATTTATATAAGTTTTATACTGAACATCTTATGCACTAACCAACTGTGTAATTTACACAACATTTATGTACATATGAAAACCTCATCAATAACACTTCCCAAAATACAGGAATCATTTGTAATAAACACTTGAGGATAATACTGTGAAATAAACTCCACACATGCAAAGAATATTCCAATTCATTTTGGCAGCATCGCAAGTTAGTGTCTGACCAGTATTTTAAAGAAGATTCCATCAGGAATGTAACGTTTATAATCTAGATTACATCTGAATAGCACTGAACATCAACAACAAACTAACAACTATCTAACAACATAGCAGAATTAGCACCAAGTGAAAGCCTGTCCACGTAGTAAGTCTAGCACTTCTGGTGAGGCTTGAATCTGGTGATTTTCCAGATAATTGCGGCTATTGTCCTCTGTAGATTCCAGGAAGTAGCGGTAGTTGACCATGAGGGTACAAGACTGTGTCAGTCCTCTGTGAGATGTGTCGGCTAGAAAGTTGATTCTCCACAACACTGCCCCATTGCTCAGGTGGAAGTTGGCTGTTGGAAAAATACACATTTGCAAGTAGAAAAAAGTCACTGTATTTGTATTTGTTATCTTTTTAATTTTTTTTTTTAAATTGGCAGAATTGTCTCTTGTCATATTGCTAAGTTCTAATACAAGAAAAAAGGTAATCAGAGTGAGGGCAAACAACTACAGGGGGAATATCACTTCCGTGTACTGTTGGAAAAGTACTTGCCAGAACTGAATGAGGACTCAAGATTCTAGGAGAGCAGATTTCCCAGTTACAATGTGGCTTTTGAGGGAACCAGTCTATCATAATTTCTGTGATATGCTCATTATGATGATGGCAAGAAATATGTGAACACAACCACAGTATCTTGTTTTTATTGATCTTACCAGTCTTACCAGGGCATTTCTTTTGGTTAGTTGTGAAGGTCTATTCAAGACGGTGAAGGTCTATTCAAGACGGTGAAGGTCTATTCAAGACGGTGAAGGTCTATTCAAGACGGTGAAGGTCTATTCAAGACGGTGAAGGTCTATTCAAGACGGTGAAGGTCTATTCAAGACGGTGAAGGTCTGTTCAAGATGCAAAAGTTCTGTTCGATAAGACTTGGTGTCCACCTACTAAACTTAACATCATTTAGTTGTTCCATACACGTATGACGAACAATCGTTTATGATGTTGTAGCATTGCAGGAGTTTTTAATCAAGAATTGAGTAAAGCAGGGATGTCTACTTTCCCTTACCATCTTTGGAATACACTCATACCTTTTGAAATAAGCCATCTAAGATCAAGACGGTGGTAATTCATCAATTCTCAATCTGACAGAAGCCTTTACAAACCTGTAAGAATGAAAGCCAGGATTGTGTAAGTACTCAGAAAGCTGCAGAAGATGCTGCAATAACAACCCACTCAGAGAAGGAACTGCAAGGTTTACTTCTTGGTATCAGTTGTGAATTTGGACTAACAATCAGCAGAAAGAAGACTAAAACCTGGTGCAAGCTGCTAATGATAGATCTGCAATCTTTACTGATGGTGAAGAAGTGGAGACAGTTATGAGTTAGATTATCTTCACAGCACTCCGGACACATCCATGAGCGCTCAGATTCCCCTCTCAACACATTGATCAGCGGCGTGGGGTTCATAGTGCCAGTCCTATGTTGGTTAACAAGACTTCGTGTGCGTCCAGTGTGCTTCTCATGCTTGGCTGTGCCGATCTTGACTCCCATTTCTCATATTCTTAGCAGTGATGTGGATATGTTGCTTCCAAAATCCTCAGAACGACCTATCTCTCTAAGGGCATTGACAATGTCTGCGTGATCCATGGGCCGGCCATCTTCAATGAATGCAGCACCTGCCAGTCTATCAGCTCTTTTATTACCAACAACGCCTGCATCCCCTGGGATGAATATGAAGGTAACTGCACACACAGCATGCAATGACTCAAACCACTGTCAGCATAACCAGCCAGCAGCTGGAGACAGTCGACCATTTTACATACCTGCGATCGTCAATAACAAACTATCACTGGGCCAAGAAATCAACATCAGAATAGGCAAGGCAACAACAAAAAGAAAGGAAAAAAAAAGTTAGGTATAAAAGAAAGCTTACTGTTAAAACAAAACCTTTGTCTAACAGGCTTATGTCCTGAGCTTTCTTCTTTATTTATTTTATAGCAGTGAAACTTGGTCCTCAGAATATCTTGGAGAAAGAAGAGGAGAAATACTGACATCTTGAAAGATTTGAACATCAAGGAAAATTGGCCAATCAACAGCATCCTGTCTCAGAAGCTGAAATATTTTGGTCACGACGGATTGGAAAAAATTATAGCAGAAGGTATGGTACCAGGAACGAGGGACAGGGGCCGACCGACACAAACATGGGCACAGGATATAAGTGGCTCCTTGGGTATGAAAGTGCATGAGAGCTGGCGAGAGACCGAGTTTCTTTCAGGCAGACCGTGATGAGAGCGACGTTCTGCAAAGGACCTGCTACATGATGATGTGAAGATGATAATGATGAAACTTGGTCAACTTTTTCACATCAGGAGAAATGACTAAATATTTTCCACATGCAATGCCTAAAGAAAAAATGTAAATGTAAAAACAAAACGTGCTTAAAATAATCTAGACTCATAGTAGCAGACTGGATAGTGCACTGGTTTACCAGAGTGGTCACCCAGGTTGAATCCCCAGGTAGCAGCAATTTTTGTGTGAGGCAAAGTGATGATGGAATCAATTCAGCCTTAAAATAGAAGGTAACCGGGAAAACAAATGCCTAAAGAAGCCTGAAGTATGAGCCAATAGGTGCAAATACAGACCAGATGAATCAATGAATGAATGAATCAAGAATTAACATAACCGCATGCAGGACATTCCCACATGTGCTCCGTCCCCTTATCAGTAGCCAACAAAAAGCTGACATGTCAATAATACCAGTTGCAACCTGATTAAAAGTCCGCCTCTGTTTCTCCTTCAATGTTGAATGTCTTCTGAAACTGCTATACCCCCCCCCCCCCCCCCCCCTTCCCTCTATATACTGCCACATGAACACAGCATACTTAAGGCAATTTTTCAGTTCTGTAGTAAGTCAATGCTGACAGGGAATTTACTGAATAAAAGCGCCTCAACAAAAAATAAATGCTACTCACCAACTGGGTTTAAAGCATAATTTCTTCTCTTTTGGACATACAAGTAATGGGCACACAGCCTCATGAGTGGTCCTGACATCACCTGAAACAGGACATAGATACAGAGAACATTCGCTGCTAGTGGTACAGCTAATGTTGCAGAGTTCTCACTGTCACCAGTACGCTCACAGATCACAGAAGTCATCATAAAAACTAAATATGACTAGGAAAACAGGTAGAAAGAACAAGAAGATGAGTTGAGCTGAGTTGAGTCAAGAATTGACATCACAGCAGTCAGGGCATTTCCATGTGTGCTGTGTCCTCATCTTCAGCAGCCAGCGGAGAGTTCCAATACTGATGGTACCAGTTACAATCTGGTTATATGTCCCTCTTGCCTTCCCTCTGAGTGTAGTGAGCCAGCCAAACCCTCTGGTTACACCCAGGTGCCTCATTCTCTCCAGGCTATAATAATCTTATTTATCTACTGATTCCGTTGCTTGTTCCCAAAGGGCCTCGACCACATCTGCCTTGTCAAGTATCAATTCCCCACCCAGTGGTGCAGATCCAGCTAATGTGTCTGCCTGTTCATTACTCACTATGCTGGCATGACCTGGAGAAAAGATCCAAAGTATGCTCACTACCCGCAACCTTCCCAGTGAAGCTTGCTATCGGATAAACTTTTCTTTACAAGTACTATGTAACAAAATGGCATTCTCAGATACTGGTTAGATGCATGCATGAAGACAAATATGAACTGAATGAATTGGTTTATACAGTATACAGACTAAAATGTGGATAATACTTTAGATAAGAAGATCCACTAACTTGTGTCAAAGGCTGGTTTCTGTACCACTTGTGTGTGAGGACCAGATCTTTAAAGGTATCCATGGGTGAACGATGACCCAGCTGTTGATATGGGGCAATGTTAGCTAACTCTTCTGGAAGTAATAAGGGCACACTAGGAACTTCCCCTGCGTCTAGGAAACAGAAAACAGTGTTTCTATCAATAAAAAACATACAAGACAAGTGAAACAGTATTTGCCTCATAATTTTTTACACTTGAGTATTTCACAAGAAGTTTACAAGCTGCAAAACATTCCAACTACTGATTCTCATCTAGCATAAACTAGAAACCAACAAACTGCTACTAATTCTTACCTAATGGAACAATGAGACAATCAGAGAGACTCATAAACTTTTTTTAATGCTGGAGACAGGCTAGAAATGCATGTAAAACAAACATCTACACTCAGTCCTGTCATCCTGAGAAGGCCGGTTTTTTTATGGCTTTTACATGTTTTTGATGACTTGATAACTCTGGGCAGTGGCCAGTATACGTATAAAACAACCTGGATACTGCCTGCAACTGTACTGTATGTAGATATGGTGGGTATGATTATATTCACACACATACACAGACATACGCATGCATGCGCCCACGTACACAGAGAGAGAGAGAGAGAGAGAGAGAGAGAGAGAGAGAGAGAGAGAGAGAGAGAGAGAGAGAGAGAGAGAGAGAGAGAGAGAGAGAGAGAGAGAGAGTGAATTACTATAAAAACAGAAACTGACAACAAAAGAGATATTATTATTCAATAGTTTTTGTGTGTGTGTAACCAACACTGTGTAACCAACACTGAGCAACCAACACTGTGTAACCAACACTGTGTAACCAACACTGTGTAACCAACACTGTGTAACCAACACTGTGTAACCAACACTGTGTAACCAACACTGTGTAACCAACAATGTGTAACCAACACTGAGCAACCAACACTGTGTAACCAACACTGTGGACCAACACTACATAACCAACACTGTATAACCAACACTGTGTAACCAACACTGTATAACCAACACTGTGTAACCAACACATATAACCAACACTGTGTAATCAACACTGTGTAACCAACACTATAACCAACACTGTGTAACCAACACTGTGTAACCAACACTGTGTAACCAACACTGTGTAACCAACACTGTGTAACGAACACTGTGTAACCAACACTGTGTAACCAACACTGTGTAACCAGTACTGCGAAACCAGTACTGCGAAACCAACACTGTGTAACCAAGACTGTGTAACCAACACTGTGTAACCAACACTGTGTAACCAGTACTGCGAAACCAACACTGTGTAACCAAGACTGTGTAACCAACACTGTGTAACCAACACTGTGTAACCAACACTGTGTAACCAACACTGTGTAACCAACACTGTGTAACCAGTACTGCGAAACCAACACTGTGTAACCAACACTGTGTAACCAACACTGTGTAACCAACACTGCGTAACCAACACTGTGTAACCAACACTGTGTAACCAACACTGTGTAACCAACACTGTGAAACCAGTGCTAAATATGGACATTAACAACAACAGAAAAATCAGTACAACAGAAATGAAATGTCCACAACGAATCCTAAATGTGACAAGAAGAGGCAGATTCGTATATAATGATATCAGCAGACAATGGAACCACTGCTGAACTATATCAGGAAACAACAGACCAAATGGTCTGGTTATGTGTCAAAATTACCACAGGATAGCACGCCATAGAGTCTTGTTGCTTAGACACAATGTCCACATATGGGTTCTGGGGTGCCTTTGGGGGGTAGGGGGGGAGGGGGAGGAAACAGATTGACTGCCCCACAACAAGCATGTTGTAAATGATGACTAATTAGGTTTTTTTTCCTTTGAAGTTGAGTAGAATTGTCTGACAGGCAAGTAACCAACAGTTTGCACAATCAGGAAACAATAGATCAAATGGTTTGGACATCTGTCAAGATTACAAGATAGTGCATTACAGTCCTTTCTATTAGACACAACCTTTCCATATGGGTTCTGTGGCATCATTTAAGGTGGGAGGTGGGGGGGATGGGGGGGGTAGATCCACTGTCCTCACAAGTTCATGTTCTAAAAGATGACTAATTAAGGGTTCTGTCTTTATAGTTGAATAGATCTGCCTGAGAGGCAAGAAACCAACAGCCTGCATACATGTAAGCTAGATCTGGAAAACAAAAAGGTTGCGCATGCAGCGCTCAAGTTCTGGAACAAGACTAAAGTGCAGAAATGGACAAACAACTAGAACATTCTGCCAGAGTTTGCAGCCGGTAAACATTAGGAAGAAGAAGAAAAAGACACAATGGAAGCAGACCTAGAAGTGGCCCACACAAGCCACAGATATAGGGAACATCTGATGACATGAATACCAGCATCTGTGTGCACAAACCAAGGCTCAAATCAGATGCCTCTTCAAAACCTGCAGCTTAATGACAGAACAGGACTAAAAGAAGAGAGAGACAGAAGTGAAAGAGGAATGTTTTCTGGCCACAAACAACAGCCAGTACTCACTTGTCATGTTTATGTAGTGTGTGATGGCTGACAGTAGCCAGTCCCTGAAGCCAGGTATGGGAGACAGGCTGGAGAACTGCTGCAAGTGTGGGAACTCCTCCTGCAGCTTGCGCACAACTGACTTGATTAGATAATTACCCATTTCAATGCCTTGTAATCCTGAACAAACAGATCAGATTACTTGCACACTTAAAATAATAGTTCAGTTATATTTAGGAAGTATGTTGAATACAGGTGATGAAATCATAATTGGATTATATTTATGAAGCCCATTAAATACGGGCAATGGAATTCATCATTATATTTATGAGGCCCATTAAATATGGGCAGTTGAAATCATAATTATATTTATGAGGCCCATTAAATATGGGCATTGGAAATCATAATTATATTTATGAGGCCCATTAAATAGGAGTAATAGAAATCATAATTATATTAATGAGGCCCATTAAATATGAGCAGTTGAAATCAGAATTAGATTATACTCATGAAGCACATTAAATAGGGGGGATGGAAATCATAATTAGGTTATAGTATTTCTGAAGCACATTACATACAGGCGATGGAAACAACTGGAGCTGCACTGTCTCGAGGCATAGTGTCCGCCTTCAGTTCTAGAGGTCCCAGGTTCAGGCCCTGGCGAAGGCTAGGATTTTTTCCCATGGACGTGTAGTAATTTTTTCCTGGTCTCTGGGTAGTAAGATCATACGACCGTGTGTTTTGTTGCGCACGTAAAGGATCCCTTGGTGGTTGGAAATGGAAAAGAGTAACCTAACGGCGCTGCCCAGGCAAAGTTTAGAGTTTAAAATCTACTCAAAATATTCTAGGATCCTCACTGGTGCTCTGCACTGAGATTCTTTCTACTCAGGCTAGAGTCAGAAGTAGAACGGAGCACTTATCGGTTACTACTCATGTGTCATGATGTTGATCCACTGTTCAAACCAATGGTTGTGAAATCCTATGCTCCAACTATGGTAGATTCTGGTCTTGCTAGTCACACTCACCACCGCCATGTGCTGTGATTCCCATACCTTCCTACAGCACTGTTATTCACACACCTCCCTACAGCACTGTTATTCCCACACCTCTCTATAGCACTCTTATTTCCATACCTCCATACAGCACTATAATTCCCATGCCTCCCTATAGCACTGTTATTCCCATGCCTCCCTATAGCACTGTTATTCCCATGCCTTCCTATAGCACTGTTATTCCCATGCCTCCCTAGAAGATTGTTATTCCCATGCCTCCCTTTAGCACTGTTATTTCCATGCTTCCCTATAAAATAATAAAACACTATCATTTGGAAAGCCAGAAAGATTAAAAAAAAATTATTTCTTAAATATGGAGCAGAGGTAGCTCCAAAACTTACTATCATAACTACAGGGACCAAGAATTGGTTCAGTCTAACTGCTTTTACTCTATCAGACCCCTGTACCGCTTTTCCAATAATTTCCGAATCTCCCGTTAAACCGCTGTACCTAGTTTTTCGGTACTTTGCATACTATGTGATAAAATGCGTCACAAACTAAAAATAACCAACCAATCGTGATCAAATCTTGTGGTTAGTCATTTCTAATGACTTCCCATGTGTGTTTGGATTTACTTTGTGTGGTTTCATGTGAAAAAAATTATGTAAATTCACAATGAAACGAGCAGCTGATGAACCAAGCACATTGGCAGGAAAGTGAAGTAGGTCTAGGTTTTTCACAGCCCAACAGGTGATCAATACTTTGGTTGATTCAGACTCTGAGGAGTGAGAATTTCATGAAGAATATGTCCCCAATAGAAATGACGCAGTCAGTGAGAGCTCCAGTGATGAGGAGAAACTTGAAAATTATAGATTTAAAACTAGATCGATAGTAAGAGACGGGGGCGTGTCCCTCAAACAGCAACATCTGGTGATCACTTTGTGAGACAAGGCTGATCCTGTAGGTGGATTGGCACATGAAAGGGAAGCCAATTTTCTACAATGTCTCCAAGTTTCATCTTATTCTAACCATTTGCTTGCATGTAACTAATATTTGTGTATATCATGTTGGTGTTTTCGTGTTAATGCCCGGAGCTCATGAATAGGGGGCAGTTAGGTTCAGAGCCTCAGGTCTGGTAGGGTTAAGAAGAAAACTTATATAACCCACAAGAAATATAAATATATATATATATATATAAACTGCTCACACAGAGAACAGCAGATAACCAGTGCTTTTAGAAAAGTCAGAAGACAGAAAGAAATAGCACAGCTTATCTTTGCTTTTAGTGCACAGACACCTTGTTTCAATAAAAACAAAAATAATTTTACAAGCCACTGGAGGTGTTACAATAAAAAACAAATGAAATTATCAATAACAAAAATAAAACAAGCTTACAACTTTCACCAGATAGTCATCAATAGATAATCTCTGCATCTTGAACAATCAAGCATATCTAAGCATATGCCTGTAGGAACTATTCGAGCAACAACTAAACAAGATGGCCTACCTTTTTGTGTTGACGTTATAGAATAAAAAACAGCACATGTAATTTGAGCCGGGTCCTCTTTCTCTTCATCAGGACACGACGATAAGGATGCTAGTGACTGAAAAGTTGAATTTGGAGTGGAAGGTGTGGGTGGTGCTGTAGATGGTGATGGAGCGTCCAGTGTATAGAAATCAGGGACGCTGTCACCAACATCTGACGATAGAGATGGTCTGAATCTGGCATTTAAAATGATGGACTGTAAAAGAAAAAGAACAATTGTTAAGTAGCTAACTACTAAATCATGCCTCAGTATGAACATCAAATCTGCAGGTAAATCCATGATTGCCACTGCTACAGGAATGTGATATGCTAAAGTATTATATACACCAGATCATATTTGACAAGGCAGTGTGGGTAATATCCTAGTGGACTCATGGCTGAATAGTTCAATGTGCAGTAGGGATGGATGTCCTTTCAGTTAACCAGGTTTTCTATTTTTTTTTTTTTAAATATTCTATTCTTTCTTGTCATCCAGAGATTTGTCATTTTTCTTCATGATCTCCATACTAGTGATTGGTCCTATCATTTCTTCATAAAATAATAATGATTAGTATTTTGAAAATGTGCCATTATATTTTTGCTTTCATTTAAAATGTTATCTGACATGCTGCTTGTCACATTCCATAAAAAAGGCAGTAATTAAAAAAAAAAATAATTAAGAAATGCAAATTAAAAAAACAAACATACACTACAAACATCATGTTGGAAATAATGCTTACATGGATACTAGAAGAGATTTCATTGGTTAGTGCTGTATGAAGTACAACCACTGGTTCCCTGGGCATGCTGTTGTGGGTGAAGATGTAGCATCTTCTATATGAACCTACTCTTCGTTTGATGTCTTCCCATGTCTTGATTTTATGTACTGCCTCGTAATTTGATACCTACGAGATAACAATAAAATACACTGCAAGCAAGTACATACAAAACGAACAAGCACTAAAATGGGATGCCTGTACTGCTGGCAGTTCTGGCATCATTACAAGCAGTTGCTAATTATTCATGATCCAGTGTTTACATCCACAGAGAAAAATATGCTACCAATAAACTTCCAGTGAACAGAATTATCATTAAGGTTATTTTTCTATTTTTCGTGACATGACTTATCCTAGTGAAAATGCAGTTAATAAATGCACACCAAAAAAAGCATTAAGTGCTAAAGGTCAGCTGTCCAGGAAAATGATCTTCTTCTTCACTTTCTTCTTCACTTCCTCTTTTACCGCTGTGGGTGTTGAGGGAGATATAAGGTTCTGTTTCTAGCTCTTCTGGCTGCCTCGACCATAGGCACATCGTGCTGTTGTAGAGTTTCTCTGATGTTATCCTTCCATCTTGTTCTTGGTCTACCCCGTGCTCTACGTCCTTCTTTTCTTTCCATGTATGCTTTGTATGGTATGGTGTCACAAGGAATTCTCTCTAAGTGGGCAAACCATTTCACTTGCTGTCTTTGTATGTAATCCAGAATTGGTTCTGTGCCGACTTGTTCTCTTATGATCTCATTCCTGATCTTATCTCTTATGGTCACTCCTACAGCCCTTCTCAGACATCTCATTTCCGTGGTTACTAATTTTCTTTTATGGTTTGTTGTGAGTGACCATGTCTGGCACTGGTAGCACAGAGTTGGAATAAATATGCTTTGAATAAGATGTCTCTTTGTGCTGATTGGGATTGTCTTATGCTGTAAGAAGGGGGCTAGCTGTCCCAATACTTGGTTTGCTTTACTGCATCTAATGTCAATTTCTTTTTCCAATTTCCCATCTTCGGTAGGAAAATGATCACAAATAAGAAAGTGGACAATGTGACAAAGAAGCATTCATCTACAATAAAAAAAACATGTGCATACATATATAACTTGTTCAGTTTGTAAATATAATTATAATATTTGACTTTATAAATATTCCATCTTAACTAGTGTCAATATGGACTTATGGACTGATTGTTCAATATGCAATAGGGATGAAGGTTCAGCCTAACTCAGCTCAGTTATCTTGGGTTATCTTCACAGCAGTCTAGTCTGGACACATCTAGAGGTGTTTCAGACCCCCCCCCCACATATATAACAGTAAAGTAAAGTAAAGTAAAGATACCTTTTCATGCCCTCAGGCGCATCGGGCATATGGGAAGAGCACCCATATTTTTACAGACCGATCGGCACTAGGTGGATAATGTGGTCAGCATTTTTCCAGCCATCTTTACTTTTCCAGGACATACATCATGGTACACATTTTAGGCTGGGTCCTGTGAAGCCCCATACCATGATAAAACATCCACGCAACCAGCAGTGGGTTTTGATCACGATATCTTGGAATTAGAAGTGAAACGCCTAAGCCACAGATGCCGCATATATAACAGTATCCTGGGGTTAATAGTGCCAGTCCTATCCTGGTTGACAAGATTTCTTGTTTGTCTGGTGTGCCGCTCATGCCTGGCTGTGTACATCTTCAATCCCAATTCTTACATTCATAACAATGACGTGGACATGCTGCTCCCTAAAATCTCCAAATCCTCTGATTGTCCTACCTCTCAGATGTCATTAACAATCTCAGTGTAATCTGCATTTAGAACTATGGCACAGCCAGCAAATCTATCAGCTTTTTCATTGCCAACAACACCAGCACATCCCAGGATAAAGATAAAGATAACACTGTGTGCAGTGGAGTTTTTCAATCCATTGTCTGCATATGAAACCTGAATTGACCTGCCTTATCATACTCATAGAACTACTCAGTTCAAACATGTAGGAATAGCCCATGATTCCAGCCAGATATCAGCTCATGTAACCACCATTACCTCCATCACCATGCTGCAAGTAGTCATGAAGATAACACAGCTGGCCTACTTGACTGTTCAGCCTGCAGAGCGAGCTGTGAATGCCCAAGTACTTTTTTACCCTTGAGCAGCAGGCCTATCAATGATAATTATTTGCAGTTCTGTTTCATAAAGATTCACCTTTATCTTACATTCCATATGAATACTCCAACAAATGACGCAATTTCTTACCATAGAGCTCACTAGGAGATTCTGAACAATGTACGCAGAACTATATTGCACAGATGAGCATCCATCAGTGTGTATTACAGAATCAAAAAAGGCTATACTTCTGTGGGCAAGTTTTCAGGATTATCAAACTTTGCTTAGACTAAGGCTTTTCCTGCTCACCCTTTTTTAATTCCACCTGTCATGGGATTTATATCATGTACAAGGTCCTCCTTTTTGTTTTGTTTTATCCTAGATCTAATCTACAACAAAGGACAAAAGTTAGAGAGATAGCAGAAAATCATATTATATTTATTACACACTTAGTCACCCAAAATTCAACAAGCAATACCTTTTGTACAAGATCACATGGAGAATTCCATGTTATTCGTTCAAGGTTGAGGAATCCGACCGTAAACCACAACATCAACAGCTCACGTAAGGCAGAATTGAGTTCTTGGTAGAATGCTGCATCAAGCTCACTTGTACAGCTCTGCTTCAGGTTCTAATCAAACAATTTATTTCACAAACATTATGAATATGTCAGTATAATCCGAATGAAAATAATACCACCAAATGCAAAGGATATTGTTTATTTCCAAAAGAAGGTTGGGGGGGGGGGGGGGGGGGGGGGGGGGGGGGGGGTGGGGGTTCCCTCCCACCACAACATATATGACTTTCATTTCTGTTACTAAAGCTAAATTATACTTTTTTTAAATTCAAATCTACATAGGAGATAATGCTAGGAAGTTACCAACTGATTTCAGAAGCTGGAGCTGACAGAGGAGAGTTTGTAGGTGTCAGGTGTGGCATCGTACAGCATTGTCTAATAGTGACAGTTCTAAGGAGGTGGGCAAGACTTCATGTGTGTCTGGTGTGCCTAAATTAGACAGTGGAGAGTTTGTAGGTGTCAGTCAGGTGTGGCATCGTACAGCATTGTCTAATAGTGTCAGTTCAAAGCAGGTGGGCAAGACTTCATGTGTGTCTGGTGTGCCTAAATTAGACAGTGGAGAGTTTGTAGGTGTCAGTCAGGTGTGGCATTGTACAGCATTATCTAACAGTGTCAGTTCAAAGCAGGTGGGCAAGACTTCATGTGTGTCTGGTGTGCCTAAATTAGACAGTGGAGAGTTTGTAGGTGTCAGTCAGGTGTGGCATCGTACAGCATTGTCTAATAGTGTCAGTTCTAAGCAGGTGGGCAAGACTTCATGTGTGTCTGGTGTGCCTAAGCTAGACAGTGGAGAGTTTGTAGCTGTCAGTCAGATGTGGCATCGTACAACATTTTCATTAGTTAAGGCCAAATCTCACAGACTGCCTGTATTTCACATGCATTCACATAGTTATTAACAACCGTGTCAATACCCAAACAAATACACTGATTACTTATAGCAACAATGTTAACATGATAGCAGGTTTTTTAAGGATGCCAATACTAACTTACAAAGAAAAATTACATACTTGATTCAGAATAGAGTAAAGAAAATAACTGCTCCACTATTGGTAAAATGAATTTGCTTTAAAAATATTTGCACTAAAGAACTGTGCAAACAAGTAAGAAGAAAAGTGTTGCTACATTGCATAGACAAAATGGCTCTGTAAAGAACAAAGTGAGTGTATGAGGCAGTTAAGAAAATTTGTTACAATATAAATGAAATTTAAAAAAAATTCCTCAAAGTATATAAAATAGGAAGAAAAAAGCAGGATTTAAACACAGCATTAGAGCATACATATATTAAACAGGCATCTGAGTTTAAATATCTTGGAACAACATTCAGTGAAGATGGTAAATTGGACGAAGAAATTGACATCCAATGCAGTAAAGCTGGCCAAGTATTGGCCAGTAACACACACACCACCACACACAGCATAAGGCAATCCCAGTCAGCACAAAGAAACATCTCAGACAAAGCTTATTCATTCCCACCCTATGCTGCCAGTGCTAGACGTGGTCACTCACAACAAAACATTAAAGAAAATTAGTGGAAAAGAGATGTCAGAGAAAGGCTGTAGGAGTGACCAGAAGAGATAAAATCAGAAATAAGGTCATACGAGATAAAGTCGGCACAGAACCAATTCTAAATTACAGACAAAGACAGCAAATCAAATGGTTTGCCCACTTGGAGAGAATGCCTTCTGATGCTATACCATACAAGGCATTTACCAAAAGAGGAGAGGGATGCAGAAAAAGAGGTTGACCAAGAACGAGATGGGAAGATAATATCAGAGAAACTCTACAGCACCACAATGTGTTTATGGTCGAAGCAGCCAGAAGAGCACGAAGCAGGACCTTTTATCTCCCTTGACACTCCAAGTGGCAAAAGAGGATATAAAGAAGAAGAAGAAGAAGAAGGACGAACATCTGTAAGAGTTTAATTGCCAAATGTTAAACCTACCAGTACATCAGCTCGGACATCAACTAAAAATTTAACTCCGCCTTGAACTCGTCCCATATGTGTGAACAGAGTTTTGAACTTTGGTCGCAGAGCTGACCTAAGTCTGTCAGAAACTGCTATCAGGTTTGCCTCCCCCTTGTCCTGTAAGCACGCACAAAAAATAAAAAGCATTATTTGAAACCTCTAGCACAAACAAAAAAGATGGTTTCTGCAGCAAGGTATGACAGTACAAGATAGAACAAGTAGGGTAGTCTGAGACTCTGCAGGGAAACAACAAATAGACACTGTATAAAGTACATCAATGATGCCCAGCTTCATAAATCAGGCAAATAGTAATGTGGTTTCTATTAAGAGTATCTGTCAAAGACCTGCTTGTCTAGGGTGTTAATCTATGGCTATGTTGCAGGCCGGTGACAGATAAATCTGCTAAAGAACACACTAACCCAAACACCCATGGAACACATACAAACAATCTTTAATATCAAAGAGTACGAGCTCATGCAGTTAGCCTCAGGAGCGGCAGGGCTCCTTATTTAAAACCAGTATGCTCTAGTTTTACAATCGCTAGATGTGCCTTTACACGTTTAATTAAATAAGCTCTGAGCTCACAACTACCACTCTCCCGTAAAGCGCTGTCTAAAGCCGCTGTCTCCCGATGCTAAGAATTCTGTGGCACACGCTGAGTGAGGGCTAAAGATGTGTCGGCAGATGCTAACCCCACAAACAATGCATGACCCTATTTCCCATAACGAGATATCACTACTGAAAAAGGAGTCTAACTGCTCTTGTAAATCAATCTGCTATATGAGATTTAAGTTGAACAATTCATATCTACACCGTAATGTACTAACACACTTAGTCGGATACCGGACTGTACGAATCACAGCTAAGATCTAATACAAGCATTACAACTTGTCAATGGGATAGTACAATCTAACAGTCTGGTCTAACGACGTCCTCATCACACAGATGTCTAGCAAAATCTCCCCTGATCTCCTCTTGCGCAGTCGTTTTGTCCAGCCTGAGGTTCAGTGCTGACTCGCTGTACCTCGTGAAGTCCGAGCCGCTGGAACCCACTAAGCCCAGTTTACATAAGAGGGACCATTCAGTTATTCGGCTTGTCTGCACCAGCCCTGAGCTCAGTTATATGTTACTATGTACAGACCTGTTCATTTATCATCATAATACTCTACTGTCCCATAGCCGAGATGACCTCTGACAGTATCCCACTTCAAGACATGGAGTCCTACGCCTGCTTAGCAGTAATGTAGATAAAGATAATGGAACTGATAGACATAATAATAAGAGCACAAAAAGCAAGAGGAGCTTTCATAGCACTAGTGAATTTGTAGAGCTCGAAAGAAATTAAAACTAATACTAAATTTGAAATTTGTAATTCTAATGTCAAATCAGTACTGTTGTATGGAGAGGAAACATGGGGAACAACTAAAGCAATTACTAATAAACTACAAACATTTATTAACTGGTGCCTGCGCAGAATAAAGGGAATTAAATGGTATGGTAGAATCACTAATGTAGAGCTTTGGGAGGTAACTAAAAATGTTTCAGTGGACCATGAGGTGAAGAAAAGATGCTGGCATTGGTTAGGACACATGTTGAAAAAACCTGAGAACAAAGGATAGAATGACTTGGCATGAGTTGGTTGAGGGCCTGTGCTCCATTGGAGGTCAGTAAGGCAGAAGAAGAATAAAGCCAAGTACTGTGTCCTTAAACCTTCCTCTGGGCAATGTTATCTGTGTTTTCAACTGACTTGGACTCCCATGTGGACATATCCTAAACAAACAGCACCAGAAAATGTTCCACGAAGAAAGGTGAAACTGATCACCTCACCTAGGAACTGATGACTGCTGTCTTAAGGCATGGAGAAGAACCCTTTGCTTACTTAGACAGATGTATATAACCAAACTAAAGATGTAGACAGACATACTGTTCTTACAAACTTTGGATGTGCACGTGGTATTACACATATCGCCTAGGTATGTGTGTGAATGTATGCCTTACTGTCTGTAATAATCACAACATACATGCATGTGTGTGTGCATATATGTGTGTGTGTATATATATATATATATATATTTGTGTGTGCATCTGTATGTGTGTATGTATATGTATATATATATATATATATATATATATATATATATATATATATTTGTGTGTGTGTACATGAATGTGTGTGGTGTGTGTGCGTGTGCAGAAACATGTGGCCTCATTTAGTTATTTTCCCTTTACATTTTCCTAGTTCCATTTGTAAACAGATCTTCAGTAACTTTTGTTTTTATTTTTTCGGTTGGCATGGGGTGCTTTTTGTAAACTAAGCCTGTTATTATTATCTGGGAAGTCAAGTAAGTACCTAATAGCTATGCACGCTGTATCTTTGATGCTCACTATTTCATTGTGAATTTTGTACAGTCTTTCTATTTGTGTCTTACACAGTAAGTGCAGAATTTTCTGATTTAGCCAACACACATTTAGAGTAAAGGTGGTGGCACAGCAGATACTTCCCCTAGAATGTGAAATAATAATGTTCACATAGTCTAAACCAAGGCACATGAGGTTGTTGGTCCAGTTCCTTTCCTCTTCCAAGGAAATTAAACATTAAAAATTAACATTATCTGATACCCATTTTGCTGAGGGTGGTCATAAAAACAATCCTGCCACTTCTGTGGATTTGACTGGGACCACTATCTTGGAGCAAGATCAATACACGCAAATACAGATTAATATAACTCACTCTTGCAATTATAATATTACTAAGTGTGAGGAAGCCTCTGTAAATTCCATAACCTTCATATGTATGGAGTAGAATAGGAGAAAGCCTAGCACTTCACACACCAACGAGAGAAGCTGTTTTGGAGTTACATTTTTTTTAATATTTACCTAGTTACTATACCAGAAGCTCTGCAACAATGTCTTTACTAATAGGTGGAGTAATGAAGTTAAATGTTTATCAAATGAGTTATAAATCTATACAATGATAATAAAGCATGCTAAAAGGTATTTTAAATAAACTTGCAAAGTCTTTTCAAACTATGTAAATTTTAATGCATACATTAAACCATCAAAGTGATAACTATAAACATGGAACACTATAGGAATATACCATGTGTATGGAAAACTGTAGACAAAAACAATCAAAAATTATATGTCAACTATGAACATAGTAGGGAAAACTTTGCACTTCTGAATATATGAGAATTCTTAACTTTGCTAACTCTGAAGATATTGGGCACATTGCTATGGTGAAAGTAACATATATATCTGTAACTGTAGGTAAATGTTTGCACTATCAGGAAAACTTCTCGCTGTATATATTAGCTTTACCTATGAAAGTTGGTAGGGAGTTTCAATACAGCTACAGTTCAAACACAGTACGTTCAGAGTTTTCTGATTTAGGCAATACGCATTTAGAGTAATGGTAGTGGCAAAGCAGATACTTCCCCTAGAATGTGAAATATTAATGCTCACATAGTATAAACGAGGGCACACAAGGTAGTTTGTCCACTTTATTTCCTCTTCCAAGGAATTATTAAAATTATGTGGTACCCAATTTGCTGAGGCTAGGTTGATCCCAGAGAAGTATTGGTCAGAAAACAGGGAAAAAAAAATCCTGCCACTTCTATGGATTGGACTGGGACCACTATCTTGGAGCAAGAGCTATACACACAAATACCAAACAAGACAACTCACTTTTGCAATGACAATATTATTGGCTACAGAAAGGGCACTGTCCTTGTCTATCCCAAATTGTTTGGCCAGCTCACATAAGAAATGTCCCCTCTGATCCTGTGCCAAATTACTGTAATGCTCCATAAAGTTTCTGCATTTTACCTGTGCAATGAGAGAATAAACTACAGAACATAAAACAAAACAAAAATACTCTCAAAGGAACTGTTGACACTATCTGCTGACTGTGTTCCTGATTAGTTCAATGTTGTTCCTCTTCTGCACTTTTCCATCTAATCCACATAAACCTTTCTCAATTGGCCAGTAAAACATATAACAAAAAATAACATATAACAATCAACTTTCGCCTCTACAACTAATGGATTATAACAATCAAACCTAATACTTTAAGACATGAGTATCCTGTTTAATCAGTGGATTTAATTTATAACTGTTAAAGACGTCACTCAGCATGCGACAACTATGATATGAAGATCAACACAGACAAAACAGAAGTGAGGACATTCACCAGAAAAGGAAGAACCATCAACATCAAAACTGATAAACATCAGTTAAAGCAGGCGAAGGACGTTACATGTCCAGGAAACATTTTTTCTTTCTTTTTTCTTCTTCAGAAAATGAAAGAATGAATAAAGAAAAAAACAAAGATGCAATAAAGCTAAAAGAATTATAGGACAAATGACACCTATATTTAAATGCAAGCACGTGAACAGAAACACTAAAAGAGTACTGTTCAACTCAATATTCTTACCATCGCTGTGCTACCAGTGTCAAACATGGACACTGTCTTCAGAAGACAGAAGGAAAATAGGATAGAAATGAAATGTTTACGTATTATGCTAGATGTAATCAGAAAAGACTGACTGACAAACAATGATATCAGAAGAAGAGATGGCACAGAACCAGTATTGAACTTTATTGGTAGACAACAGATCAAATAAATTGGCCATGTAACAAGTCTGGCAACAGACAGGGCACCTCAGAGAACAATGTTATCTGTATGTATGTAAGTTGTACCCCACCAGGACATCACACAAGCGATAAACACCACGTGACACAAAGTGCGACCATGCGGATGAGGATCACCCATGGAGAGGTCATGGAAACCCTGTACAGCCGCTAGAATCTATTTCAGGCCTGGCAAAAGCCAAGATGAGGCTTTAAAATAACAAAAATTGCATCCCACAAGGGGATGACGAGAAATACGACAACAATGTTATAGGCAGGTAGTTGTATCCCACACAAGCGATAAACACCCGATGACACAAAGTGCCACCATGCGGATGAGGATCACCTGTTATGGCCACAATTGTGGTCCAGTTTATTCAGGGCCTCTGGCAAAAAGCCAGGGTGGGGCTTCAAAAAACAAAAAATTGCATCCCACATGAGGATGAATAGGTAAAACAATGCCATAGTAGTAGTAGATTTTTGCCCCACCAGGACATCACACAAGCGATAAACACCCGATGACACAAAGTGCACCATGTGGATGAGGATCACCCAAGGAGAGGTCCCAGAAACCGCATTCAGCCATTAGACCATATTTATGGTCGGGCTATATTGCGGTCCCCGACAAGAGCCAAAGTAGGGATTCAAATAATGAAAAATTGCATCTCTCAAGGAGATGATTAGACAGATGATCAATGCTATACAGATATCGCAATAATGGATCCAGAGGTCGACCACACAAAATATGAATCACAAAAAATATCACAGACACTTAAAAGTACTACATGGTCCGACAAATAAATAATGAGACTAATTCCATTAAAATTAAAATAATCAACAGTTGAAGATTTAACCTGTATTTTACTCAAAGTAAGCCCCTTGTGCATTGATACAGCACAAGTATCACGATCTAAAAAACACTGGAACGACCTCTGTAGTTCTTCTGTTGTTATGGCCCTTAAAGTCAAGTCAATGTTACGGCCCTTTGGATGTCATCAATATCGTTAAAGAAAGAGTCCTTTTCAATGGTAACTTTAATTTTGGGAATAGAAAATAATCGGAGACAAATCTGGGGAACAGGTTGGATGGTTAAGAATACATACTTGTTTTGTGGCCAAAAATTCTTGTTTTGATGATGTCTCTTGGGTACTCAACCCGCTGATGTTTTTGGTCATCAGACAACATATGTGGTGCAAACCTGCAAGCAACTTTTTTCTTGCTAAAACCTTGCACTAAAATGTTAAGCTATTAACACCAGTTTCATCTGCCATCATCCTCACAGTAAAACAATGATCTTCTTGTATCCGTGGCTTTTGCAATGCATTTATCATTATGAACAGAAATTTTGTGTCAAAGTCTAGGTGCATTAGTAATTATTTCCACACCACTTTTTAATCCTGAATACCACCTGAAAATTTGTGCACGAGATAAACAATTATCCCCATAAACTTGTTGCATCAATTCAACTGTTTCAACTGCACTTTTTCTGAGTTTTAAAAAGAATTTAATGTTAGCTTTTTTCTCTGTACTGATTACTTAACAATGCACCTCTGACTTGGTAAAAAAAATGGCGGCTTGTGTGTCTGCTTATCGAGCGGCAATGAAAAGTTGCCAGATCATAGATGAATGTTGCCTCTTTAGATTTCTTGCTTTGCTTCATAGATGGCATTTTTGTCTTGGCCATAATAAAATCAGTAAGTCTCATTAATTAATTGTCGGACCTTGTATACATGAAGTTAACAGAAAGTCCCGTTCTAGAAATCTCTTCCTGCCCTGACACTGCAAGGCATTCCAGGAGTATAGAAAAAAAAGAAAAAAAAATGAACTTTGTTAAAGGGCTTTTCAGTCTACAAATTAAATTTAGAGTGGCAAATTAACTTCAGAGCTTTGCTCTATTATTATGCCAATATGGTTATCTAGTCTGTGCAAGGTCTATTTGGTAGGAAGCCTGTTTGTTCATCACTTGTCTGTTTGTGAATCCCCCCAAAATAATCTAGTATATTTTCCCAGAAACTAATAAAAGCATTCTTCTTACAATCCATGTCATGTGGCACAGGTAATGTTTGCCCACAGCCTTATGTCACAAGCACTATCAATCATTGACACAGACGTTCTTCTATGTCCTTATCTTGATTTGTTATGCATCTTTTCTCTTGATCGCACTATCGCTCACTTCTCCTTTAACTTTCCAACTGTCATAACACGCTGCTATTTCCCCTTGTGATCATATACATAAAGAATGTGGAATGTCTTTTTCTGATGCAGGCAATCAGTTCTCAATAAAGTCTTTTCTATAACTTTCATTCTCTTGCAGATCCCCTTTCTGCTCCTGTTTTACCAGATATTATTTTCTGTCTACCGGAGATGTTTTTAGTCAAGACTGCTAAATAACTTTAAAAAGAATTTAGCTAAGATGTTTATATCAGCTTCAAAGTTTTTAATGGGAAACCTTCTGATTAGCAACTATAATATCCTTCAAAATTTAATCTTTACTCATTTCTTCTATACACAATTCTCACAGTTGATATCCAGCTTCACATTTGATGGTTTTTTTTTTTAACTGGTCTTTACACATATTCCTTAAAGAATTCTGCTCATCTCTCTATTAAATCTTTAATGTTGGTGAGGGCTTCACATCACATGTTTTGTTTGAATACATCAGTTTACTTGGTTGAGTAGTTGTTCCTATTTATATAAGTTCTATGCTCTGCTGTAGAAACCTCTAAGGTTTCCTCTCATGTTAGGTCACCTAAATATTGTCTTTTATCTACCCAATGTTTCTTTCAGTGCTTGTATATTTTCAAAGGCCCTGACCTCAGCAGCTCTGACAAATCATTTTGCATTTAGGTTTCTTCTTGTCTCTTTTCCCCTTCAAGTTTCACTCTGTTATGACATACTGATTTTTCTTCCTCTCTTAAGATAACTTATATGCCCAAAGAATTAGTAGATTTGGTTGCAATTTTGGTACTGGAGGGGGGCGGGGGGAATATTTGCCAACCTTGGTAGGTTGTCCTAGACTGTGTCCTAAGGGGTATTTCCCAACCATCTATCAAAGTAAACTATCCCAGTTGTGTACTATGATTATATTACAGATTGGAAAAAAAAACTATCCTTTAAGGATACAGTTAAGAGCTATTTTTCTTGCTTGGCAAAATCTTCCTTCCTTCACCCCCCCCCCCCCCCCCCAACCCCTTCTTTCCCTCTTCCCAACCTTTTTCCCCAAACAAAATCAGTTTTAATTTTCTGGGTGAAAATAAAATGCAAATACTACCTCGGATGTTATCAAATTTGCATCAATGTCTGAAAATGTGTTTCGTAGTAAATTCTGCACATCATTACTTCCGCTTGTCATGACAGTATAAGGTCGCATGGCCGAGTTCTTTAGTAGCATATCAGGGTGCAGGACCTAGAAAAACAAATGCACAGCTTGTAGTGAACAAGTGCAAAAAGGCAGTAATAAATCCTCTCATCACAAACACTGGTGCATTTAATAATGACACTTACAATGAGGACTGCGGAGCTGTAGGTGTTTGTCATAAAGATTTTTTTTTTTTAAACAAACAGTAAAAGGCCATGTTTATGCCAGTGGGAAACAGGTTATATGAAGATAGGTCCTTGTTTCATGGGTGAATCAGCATTCAGTGGGTGATATGGTCAACATGCTGCCAACTTTGTTGACTTTCCAGGACACGTTCTGTTATCAAATTAAGGCTGGGTAAACCTGAGAACAACAGGTTAATTTTTCCCCAAAAAATTCACTCTAATGTGGATTTAAGGCAAAGATGTTTCAGCTGGCATGCAAGCATCTAATCACTGAGCTACATCAAATTCCCATTACTGTGACAGGGGTCTTTAAATTCCAGAAAAAAAGATTATGAGCAGAAGTCAAGCGAGAAATTGTATTTGTCTGAAGTATTAAATAATCTACACACACAGTGGCAATGACAAGAAAATGTAATTTCTGTCAAAAACAGTTACTAATGGAAGACATCAGTAATGGCTTCAAAAAGGCTAAGCTAGTTATTTTAGTTACTAATGAAGATTTAGAATCTACGACCAACCACAGCATCATCTTCTTCTATGTTAAACAGTGCAGGCCAATATGTTCCTCCACAACCATCTGTCACTTGTGTTCTTGATAAGTGTCACTGCTGATCATTTTGACAATTATTCACTTCTATTACATTTTGCTGCTGCATTTTCTTGGACTTTACAAAATGATTATAGTAATTGGGTTGCGACAGGTACTATCAGAATGGTAACCTCTCATTAGCTTGTTGAGGAAGCTGATGGAACATGTATGGGAATCTCCTTAGTGCAGTGATGTCAATTCTTGATGTATATTTTTTTTTTACAAGCTGATTTCCACTCCACAACTTTCTGTTCATTATTTTCATTTTGTGGTGATTATGTCACAGAGCTCTGTGAACATCATAAGGTCGACACAGCAAATCACAACTGATATAATACAAGTTTGTATAGCCATAGTAAACCTACAAAATACTTTGATAATCTAGCCACATACATACTGTTGTTTTAAAGAAGATGGTTTTACATAACGATGATGATAACATAGCAACAAAGAGAAATTAACCAGAGTATCAAAAAAGCTAAATAAAAAATCCTGGGAACATTGCGGAGTCATTAACAGAAAATGAGAAAACAGCGGAAAAACATTTTTTATTGTAGTCAAAAGAATGCAGACAAAAAAAGAGATGAGAGATATAACACAGAAATAATTCATGATAAGACAGAGGAAGACCACTACTAAATCTGCAATACTTCAGGGAGCCCCCCCCACCCCCGAGATCGCTAGGAAAGAACAACACAAGACCACTAGGAAAGAACAACACAAGACCACTACACTAGGAAAGAACAACACAAGACCACTAGGAAAGAACAACACAAGACCACTAGGAAAGAACAACACAAGACCACTAGGAAAGAACAACACAAGACCACAATAAATCAGGGAACATCTGAACCATTCACAGTAACATCTGGAGTAAAACAAGGATGTGTTTTATTACTGCTCCTGTTTATGACCTACACTGACAGTAGAAGCAAAGATCCAGAGCCTAGGAATGAAAATATTAGTAACGACGACAAACTATACTCTGCTAATGAAGAGGTCCTGATAAATGAAACAGGCATGAAATTGCAACATCATCTCACATCTATGAATGAAGAAAATAAAACAAATAATATGAGAATCAACACTGAAAAGTCAGATGTAATGTCAGTTACTGAAAGAAGCAGGACTTTAATATAGCAGTAGAGTACAAAGGCACTCCTAATCATCATAAAGAAATATCTCCAAAAAAGCATATTTATTCCCATTCTACACTACCAGTGCCAGCCATGGTCATTTTCTCTCTCTCTCTCTCTCTCTCACTCACTCACTCACGCACGCACGCACGCACACACGCATGCACACGCGCGCAAATTAGTAAACATGGAAATTTGTCTGAGAAAGTCTGCAGGAGTGACCTGAAGAAATAAAAATTAACACACACACACAAAAAAACAATCAGGAATGAAGTCAGAGAAAAAGATCGGCACACAACCAATTCTAAATTATATACAAAAACTGCAATTAAAATGGTCTGCCCACTTAGACAGAATGCCTTGTGATGTTTTACCATACAAGGCAATACCCCAAAAAAAGAGGGATGTTCAACCCAAAATTTACTGATTTAAGAATTGACAACATAGCATACTAGGCATTTCCACAGATGCAGTGTATTCCCAAAAAATGTCCTAAGGTGTAGTGTTAATTGTTTCTGTAGCACACACTCATTGTTCTCTTCCTCTCATACACTCCCCCGCACATTGTGAAGTGGACAGTGTTAAAATTCCTAGGCCAAAATCAATTGCTGAAAAGACAAGATGGTTGAACAATAAGACCAACAGTCTCTGCTCCATTGTGTCACCAATACAGTCTTCAGTGTCGCCAGGCCATGCTTGCATTTGATCACTAATTGTTTCATGTCTGATATATGTACGACAGACTGCAATCAAATGTCAAATCCAAGTATTGTAAGCTACCCCTTCTTTCAAATTTATACCATACATGGTTATGCTAGGCAGGTCTTCCTTCTTCAATGCTGTTGTTTAGGAGCACAACAAAACACTGGCCTTCCCACTGTTCACCCTTGACCTAGTCTATTGAAATCATTTCGTCATCTCATGCGAAACACTTTGTAAGTCTCTGGTCATGTCGTGCCTGTCTGAACCAGTTCGATACACTAGGACATGATCTGCAAATGTCAGGGTTCGCCATATTTACATTCATTCCTAGTTTCTGGTTTTCATTTTACATCATGTACATTAAATTAACACAATTAATTGTGCAATGTTAGTTCACATTCCAGTGCACAAAGTTTCTTTGTTAATAGTATGAAAATAGATTTCAAAATGTCAACACAAATGTTAATATGCCCAGTGTTGCAGATATTCAGTAATACTGTTGAAATTTCTCTCCAAACAGCATTAATGTTTTTTGACAGCTATGTTACGTGAATGTGGTCCCACTCATTTTTACTTTTCTTCTCATGTTACACAGCATCTTCTACTCCTGCTTTCAATATTTCTGGTTCTTCGCACTGAAAGAGTGTTTTGTTCAATCTTATCAGCACGATTTATATTTGATATACTCTATCTTTCCACTACCTTCTTTGTTGTCCAGTAATATTTCTAAAACTTAGGAAGCGTTTGAATAAAACAGGAATACAGAATGTGTGAATTTCAACTATTTTAGTAGGAGAAGATTTTACAGCAGACACCAAAGTGATAATATAATCTTATATAAAGTCATGAATGCTTTACTTTCAAAATGGCAATATGTACAATTATAGTGATCACTGGCAAAAGCCAGATTTCTCTAGTATTTTCTGAGGCAGTGTATTATATCAAGGGGAATTAAGGGGTAAAATATATTCACACATAATGTCTGACATGAGACTGAAAGAGTTAAGTACACAGGAGAGACACAGCTTTGCCTGTTGTACCTGATGGTGGGAAAAGTGCAGAGTGGAAATTTGCAATAAAAAATACTACTGCATGTGGACAGACAGAATCAAGCTGAACTGGAGGAATCCTAAAAAAGTGTGACATGATGGCAATGGACTTACTACTAGGAGCAGAATATATATTCAATGATGCTTACTACTTTTGACTTTTGATCTAAAAAATATTTCCATTTTAGACAGGCTTTGATCAATTGAAAGAAAAAAATCTCTGCAGCTCTGTGTAAAGTAGACACTTGGAATAGAAAGTAGACTGCAAATATTATATATATTATTACCATTTTGATGTGCTGCAGACGTCGAAGTGATTCCATGACAACTCTGGGTAACATAACGATATTCCTTGCTGTTTGAAAAAAACTGCATTATCATACAGCATATGAAATCATCCCCAATAGAAAGAAGACTTTCACTTAACTTCGATGACATAAACAATGACATATAATTTTGATTTAGATGTTTTGTGCCTTTAATATTAGATTGGGTACCATACGACATATAACATGGGAAGTCATTAGATAAGCCACAAATGATTGTCTAAAAAAACAAAAAACTACAGATGATAACAACTTGAAAATTGTTTAATTTTACACATACACTGTCCTTTGTCCCAGGGTTTTATAGTACTCTCAAACCTGCAGCATTTGCAAAATGTCTCTCACCAAGGTAGGTTTTCAGTGGATTAAAAAGATGGAAATTGCTAGGGGTTAAGTTGGGGCTGTAAGGTAGATGTTCCAGAAGTTCCCACCCTAGAGGGTTAATTTTCTCCTGAGTTAACCGAGTGGTATGTGGTCTGGCATTGCTTTGAAGGAGCAGTACTCATCAGTCAGATGACCTGGACGTTGCCTTTGAATAGCATCATGAAGCATCAATAGAATTTTATAGAATGAATCAGCATTAACACATTCACCTTTTTTTTAAAAAACTGGTTAAAAGCACTCCCTGACAATCCCAGAACACTGTCAGCATAATTTTCTTTGCGGATAGCGTAACTTTTAACATTTGTCAGCATAAACAGGAAGCATTTCCTTATGAATGTCCCTTGCCGGCAACACTTTAGCCCCTGCCCCATCCACCCACCAATTTATTTCGTAAATACAGTCACCCTTTTGTTTCTGTGTTGCGAATGCGCATGCAACACCTAACACCACCTAACGAACAGGGAAATAAAATTTGATGTTACTGTCACCTAATGACACCTTTAAAAACCACCAACTCCATTTTCCTGCCATTCCATAACCATTTGTGACTTGCTTATATTTTTTTAAAGGGCTTTGCTTTGAACGGCGCCTTAAAATGGCGGCCGTAATATGATGCCACATTCTGGCCATAAAATATCCAAAAAATATCCGAACGGTGTTCAGGCGTATCTAAAATACAGACTTTCTGCCAAGGGACAAATCGCGGCAAAACTAGGATTACTTGACAATCAATATCAACATTGCACACGGTAGTAGCAGACGATAAATACCGACCATAGACAATTTCGAGCGTTTCTGCAGACGACAATACTAGCAGACGATATTAGCGACCGTTGACCAATTTCGAGACATTACAAATGATGAAAGCCGATTAGCAATACTGTGTTCTTCCGATGGGAGGATTTAGCAGCAGTAGATGTCAGACTTGTTGGCATGCGCCAAACGCGATTAAACTCATCGTCGAGCGTATCCCCCCGCGGCGCTACGCGCAGCGCGGATGGGGGGCTAAACTAGGTGCCTGGGACTCACGAGTAAAGTAACTGGAGGAAGTTGCAGGAGATGCGGTAGCTGCTGCTCGTGAGTCCCAGCCATCTAGTTAAGTCCCCATCCGCGCCGGCGTAGTGGCGCGGGGGATACGGTCGGTGGTGAGGCACACTCGCAGAAGCAGGTCCGCAAGTAACATAACGCCGAGACCCTGTTGGAGCATTTGTTTCGTTATATGGAGCCGGCACATATTTTTAACAGAACTGAGCCGTAATCGGATATTTTTGGATATTTTAATGCCGGAATGTGGCCAATTTAGCTCTCTTTCGAACAGCATCATATTACGGCCGCCATTTTAAGGCTCCGTTCAAAGTAGAACCTTTTAAAGTGAATATTGTATGCATAAATTTGCAGATGATACAGTACCGGTCAGTACGAAGCACTATACAGGAATATAATAAACATTTCGTCGACGAAAAAAGCGGTATAAATTAAATTAAGTCTAGTATTTTACATTTATTTATCATACATGAATAATAAATGTGGCTATTAATTCAGTTGAACACTATATAGTAAGTTGCGACAAGAGAGCAGAGATCGTGGTAAACATGAACTTTGGTCTCCAAGTTTGCTTCGTTTCCAACCAGAAGTCGCGGCACAGTTTTTGACTGCTGGCTACAAACATGGCGTCGTCCTGGGTAAGTTCATGACTGGTCTGTTATATTAAAGGTTATGGGAGACGTTTAGCGTATAGATATTCGTCCTAAATTTAATTTTAATATTGTGTTGCCTGCATGCAAAAATGTCAGAATAGCTAGTGTATACGCCTGAGTACTTTTAGTTATTATTAAATATAGTATGATAAATATCATATCAGTGTTGTTGTTATGGTTATGTAACAGTAACAGTAAGTAACACTAGACTTAACACAAAAATGCACCCCACGTCCCCTTTTGCCAGGTTGGTTTGTTGGTTTCGGCTCCGCAAATCACCCCATCCATACCCTTCATTCTTTGACGCCCTTCCGTCTTTCTAGACGATAGTGTTAAATTATGCTATGGGGAGGCATGGGATTCACAGTACGGCTATCAAGACCCACCTGCGTTCAGAAGTCTTCCACAGTTAAGGTCGAGTTATTATAGTAGTAAAATTAATTACTTATGCATGGAATTTCATGATCGTTGGTCTTGTTCCTTGTCAACATTTTTGTTTAGTGTTTATTCTCAGACGTGCAGCTCTCATCCTTTCTGCAATAATTTCTTCCTTTTTTCTCATTCCTTTCCAGTTGTGCCCCCTCCAGTTCCACACAACAGTCCATGGCATTATGTTCCCATGAGTTCACCTCAATAACTGTGTTATGGGCTCTTCTCCGAACTTCTACCCGGGCATTATGGCGGCCAAACAAATATCCTAACAAGGCCTCAGTCCTATGAAAAATGCGGACTTCTCGGACTTCCTGCCGAGCGGCAAAACTAGGATCGGCTCCATATAACGAAACAAATGCTCTAACAGGGTCTCAGCGAAATGTTCTCTTTGAGTCCCAGGGGGTTTAGCATCACAGGCCCAGGGGGTAGTAAAGAAAGAAATAAAATCTGCGCATCATGCGTTCATTGGGCTTCTAGGTAGGAATCTATTAATGTATGATGCGTTCCTTGGGACTCAAAGAGTTAATTGCGGACCTGTTTCTGTGACTATGCCTCATCACCGACCATATCCCCCACGCCGCTACCAGTTCTCTCTTCTCATAACATGACCAGAAATTGATGTCTGTCTTTTTCTGATGTTTGTGAAAACTTGTCTTTGAGCATTCACCTGACTCAAAACATCTGTTAAAAGGATTCTTCTGTAAAACATCTCTGAGGCCTCAAGATATTGTTTCGGCTTGTTTATTAATTGTCCAGGATTTACAGCCATATGTTAAAACTGGCTCTATATAACACATTTTATTCAAATCAAGTCAATTTTCTATGAGAAAACTTAATCTTGTCAGAAATAACTTCTCCAGTGTTTTTTCTTATGCTGTCAAAGCTAAAAGTTCTTCACAAAAATATTTTCCATCGAAAAAAACGCACATATAAATATAATTGAGCCACATCTATGATATCTATAGATTCGTCAAAAGCACTAGCACGAATTCCACCTGCTTTATTCTTTCATTTAAAGATTCAAAAGTTCAGTTCCGAAAATTTCGATTTTGCGTATCATCAAGTATTTGAGATAGTGATCTGTTGAATTGCATGTGTTACACTTGTTTTTATTGTATCATCAACTTCATTGAGAATACTTTTCACACTGTGATTGATTATGGCCTGGGACTGCTTACCGTCTCAAAGAGTGAGGTCGAAAAACTAGAGCGCATACAGAACGCAGCTGTGCGGGTCATTTTGGGTTGTATCAAAGACACCCCAGTGGTTTGTATACGATACATCCTTGATTTGCCGATGGTTGCAGGTAGGCACTAGGTGCTGCAGGCGAAGTCATATATCAAGGTAGCTGCAGACACAGATCACCCTTTGCATGAAGCTCTGGGCACAGTTAAGGGTCAGCGGCTAATAAGAGGAAAGTCATGGATGGCTCAGGCAGAAGACGTAATCAGACCGGTCTGCATCCTCAAGAACATTAGGCGAGGATGGTGTATGATGTCTTCATAATGTTTGTTCTTTGAGATGGCTGCCAGACCTTCTCTAACTCTATCTCTGTTATCTTTATCATTGTGGTCTGTTCGTGAAATAAACCTCTTCAGGAAAGCCTGAACCTTCTCTTTGTCTGTGGCTATTAGCATATCGCCATCTCGATGAATTGCTCCTACTATGCTGGGCCGATCTTTCTTGAGCATCTGCCACGGTATGACTGGATAATATGAGCTATATAAACACCAGACCACAATACAGAACATCAGACTATTATATCTGTGTTAACAGATTTAATAATCTATACACGGTGTAAATGTTTTTACAGATACAGGTGTAGATTAAGATCACCATTTACTGAAAATAAAATTCATTTGAAACTCGAATTATTAAAAAAAAAAAAAAACTTAAAATAAATTTGAAATTCATACAATATTTGCTATCCTAGAAGCTAAAAAAATGTGTATTGGCAGTCTCTACAAAGTACCAGGTCCTGCTAGGTGAATAAAGAAAACTGATGGCAGCAGGCTACAAGCATTTGAAATCAATCATGGATCAAAGACCTTGTAAAAAAGGAAAAATGGGTAGTGCTTGGATAACAGTTTTTGTTTAAATATAAGAAAGCAGCAAATAGCAGAAATAGCTTTTTAAGTTGCAGCCTATGAGAAATACACGGAAAGAAGTTTGGAAGTGGATAAGAGCAGGTGGAGGCAGAAGTAACAGTAGCCAAAAAAAAAAACCAGGAACCTTTGCAGCGCCACAAGAAAAATGAAAAACACTGTTAACCAGATGGACTGACCAAACATCTTAGTAATGGAAAAGTTCACATCAAATGATGGTTTGAATTCTTTGTCCACATTTAGTACAGTTCTGCTAACTAATGTTGGTTGTTCTGCTCTCCAACCTACAGAAACACGTTAAGTATACTACTTGAATCAAGCGTCTCTCCATACATATTGTGTTGCCTGAATAATTCCAAAATAACAAAATTCCCTATTTTAGATGAAACAGTTGCAGGATAGTCACCTTACATTTGAGCAACATTAACTAGTTAGATATGATACAAGACTGAATATTACAATACATTTTTTAAGTTTAGGTACTTTTAGGCAAGGCTTTTTTTATATATATAAATAAAAAATGATGCCAGTAATACATACCATTGCGTACAATCAGGAAAAATCCTCAGCTTTTAGCGATGTATGTGCGTATTAAAACTAGAACATTATTTAGTAATAAATTTTCTTTTGTTTTCAGGCAGCATCTTTTATCTGATAGATCCACATATGACAGACAGCATGCCTAAAATCTAAAATATCCAGACAGTGTACAATGGCAGCAAACTTGTTCTTCAAGCTGAACGGATGCATCACGAACAGATGCAGCCTCTTGTCTTCAGTAAAAGGAGAAAGTGTCCTTGCTCACACACAGGCTTGCACTGTTTTAATGCGCTGTCATTTCAAGTCCTGGTTTGAAAGTCAGGTGCGGGAGTACAGATTAACTGGACCTGATGACCAGAAGGGTGTCAACAAGGCAGTTTCTGATGCAGAAAAGGTTGTAGGGTACACAACATCTTTTCTCAGTCTTCGATGTCTGCTGTCAGATGAAATGTCAAACATAGCTCTTCATATGAGGAAATTGGTTGGCACAAAGCACCCTCTGCTAAAAACTGCAAGGTTTGTTCTTGTCTGGACTGTCTGTGCAATGTGACTGTGATCACACACACACAAAAAAAGCTTTTTTTGGTGTTCATTATCATTTTATTGTAATGTGTCTTGGAAAGCATGTTAGTGAATGATATTTTACAATAAAATGAAACTGACACAAAATAAGCCACTAGCTTTTCTAGCCTAAGAGAGTTAACGGTAGGAAGGTAGCTGTGAGGTGGAATTATCAGTATGAAACAATTTTACATGTAAACAGTTAGTTACTGTATAAGATAGTATGGTGTGAAAAGCCCATGAAGGGGGTGGGAAGAAACAGCATGACAGGAGTTGCTGTTTCCCTGGCATAGCAAAACAAAAGCATAGTGGTAATGGAAACTAACTGGCAGGTCTAGTGAAGGTGGTTCATGAGCAAGCGCTCTTAGTGATGATCAATATGGAGCGAGTGCTATTCTAATGTCAGCAAGATGAAGTTCCACAACAGGAGAATGCCTCCTGAGAGATGTGACCTGGGCATGCTTATCTTCAGAGAGTGTTAGGAAGGCAAAGGGACCAAAACATTTGGTAATGATCAGAAGTTTTCTGTTTTCTTGCTCCTCCACGGAGTTTATGTTGCGTGGTTCAGGAGCACGGACAGCATATAATGGGAGGAGGAATATAGACTTCTGAAATGTGTCTGTACAAACACATGAGAAGCACATCATGGCAAAAGAATGTTTACACTTTCTAAAAGTGGTAGCTATGTGTGTGTCACTTTAAAAAAAATAATTGTATGTTGGTCTGTGGTTAGTCCTTAGTAGTGAGATTCTTTTCCAAATCCTTATCCCATGGTGTCAGCCCAGCTTTACTAAACTGGTATGAAACATTCAGAAGGTTCTGGTAAGGAAAGAATGTTTGAAAAGGGGCCGATTATCTACCTCATATATTGACCTCTTATGATATATGAAGGCTAACACTTTGACCTTTATGACTGTATTGACTTTGAAATATCTTTACAAAGCACATTCATACATGTTCTCATACTTTTGATATACTCAGACAGGTATTCCTGATCACTGATCAAGTTTACTATACTTGTAGATTTATATACATAGTTTATCTGGGACATTGGTTATACAGAATTAACATTACCTGTCCTTGGTGTTTTGTCTCACAACAGAGGACTAGTCTTTGATGGCAAGCACAATCTCCAGATGAGAGGACTGCTGGTATTACTGATCTCAAAAGCTGCAGGTCCGAAACCTGGGGGAGGTAACTGTGAACAGGACAGAATCGGCGGTGTCTACTCAAGGTAAATCTATCTCTGTAATGATCAATATTTACTTTCTTTGAGTTGTTTTAATATTGCATTTGCTTTTACATATATCTTCTGCTGTGGATATGTGGTGATGTCTTTAAGGTCATGTATTATTTTTGGCATGAATGTATGTGTGTTGTACACACACCACATGAACACACACTGCAGGATTAGTGTGATGCCTTTAAGAGCTTAAACCCAGGAAAGAGTGGATGATCTGGCACTTGATCACATCTGACATTCTTCAAGCCCTTTATCTTCAGTTGGAGCTGTCACTGTCAGTTAACTCATACCAAACCTTCCTTTTTTTTTTTAATCTTAATTTACGTCTAATGTGATAATAATACCCCCTCCCCATTAGTTGTGAAAGCATGCAGGTCAGCAATCCAGATTATTATTAGCTATCTTTGTATCGCTCCATAGTTCTGTGCCGAGAGTCTCCCTCAGCTTGTTCCTTGTTGAAATGTTATTGTTGTTCCCTTTGGAAGTTGTTGATAGTTTTTCGGCTTTTGCTGCTGAAGTTATCTGAAGAAAAGGGTGGCCAACCTTCAGATCAGTCTCCTACAACATGCTTGGTAGGTTATAACATTAACTTTTTGTGTGCTTCTGCTGAGAGCCCTGGCAACTTATGTGCAGTGTTACATGTTCCAGCACTTGATCCTGTCACTAATAGATTATGGACTCGGATTGCTTTCCATATGAAAGAGTTAGCTAATTAAACTTGAACACATACAGAATGAAGCCATGAGGGTAATTCTGATATGCGCAAGAGATACCCTAGTAATATGTATGCAATATGTACGTGCACTGCCATCTACCATCTATAACATAGGGTCAAAGTTCTGCAAGAAAAAAGTCATATCGCTAAGGGTTTCAGGCTGAAAATTTGATGGTCTTGGATGGCTAAAGCTGAAGATTTAATTAGGCACATGTAGGCTTGATAAAATTGGGCGAGGAGAGGAATGAGTCAGTGTCCTGGCAGTAATCAGGCTTATGTAGCATTCTAAACGCTAGACAATGAGGGCAGAGATTGCCCTGGAGGCCCTGCAGAATCAAAAGTTCAACAACTGATTCATGACATCTTACGGGCAGGTCATTCGATAATCTGTACAGGTCGCTGTGTATGTGGAGAAGTATGTGGAGGTTAACTGCAAAAGTGATTTTGCTCCCTGCAGAGTGGCGTTCTTTATTTATTTTATCCAGGGCATGCAGGGTGTTGGGAATTGAACAAGCAGACAGATTGGCTGCTTCGGCACCACTTGGTGCTAAATTGTTGCATGACAAGCTAGATGTGGTGGATGGTCTTTGGGGGGGTGGGGGGGGGGTGGGGGGGCTGATCAGCAAGGAGGCACAAGTAGATAATGGTCTGAAGAGAATGATGCAACAGAAAGGGACCAGATCTGGTTGACTCTCAGGTAAAAGATGAGGAGGACAGACAGTTATTGGCACCGTCGGAGTTGGAACTATGCAATTGCTGAAGATGGGGCACTTATGAGAATGTTGAGAGTGCTGTCATGTTGGGTCTAACTCAGTTTAACCCAACTCAGCATAACATTGTGTTAGCCTGGTTTGATCACTGTTGAATTTTAAGTTAATTTAATATTTATACCAACACACAACTTTGACAAAAATAGTCTCGTTAACGAGACATGCTCAAGCTAGGATTTCCTAACATCTGAAAGTAGCCAGTAGTAACTTCAAGTTTTAATTATTGCTGTTCCTGGCAGCTGTTGCAAGAAAACATTATTTATAGAAAATGCATTCAAGCAGCAGTCAGTGACATTGTGGAATCATCTTTGTGCTCTTTCTATTGTATTAAATTATATGAAAAGGTTTTCTTTTCCTTAAGGCTGTCCATGATGTCATGGTACCATCTTCTATGTAGTCTTTCCCTTGCAGTGTGATCATTATATTTTTTCAGCGTGGTTTACTGCGGTAGTTCATACCAGAGCATTCAAGTCAGATGACCAAACCATCTCATGTTACTTTTTTAATGAACTGAATGATTAGTTTCAGTCTTAGTCTTTTTTTTTCTTTTTTTTTTAAATTTAATCTCTTATTATCTGGCAGCTGTCTAAAAATGTATCATGTCTGTTGTTATGATATTCTGCTCATTAATTTTAGCAAGAGTCTGCGTTTGACATGGTTTTTTTTTAACATAAAGCTGAGTAAAAAATATTTACTATGTTGCCTTGTTAGAAGTGTGTCAGAAGTGGCGTTAGTTGACCTAGTACCTGATTTGATTTACTTTTGCACCTCATATGTTGATGTCTATCAGTTCTTCCTTCTGAGGTGAACATTGACAATAGATGTTAAAATGCATTTCTCCCCCCCCCCCCCCCCCCCTATTTTTGACTTGACTGAGATAGTCCTGGAGAATCTCTTCTGTTTCTGCTATTAGTAGTTGGTTGTATGCAAATAACAATTTTGAAATATATTCCTTTTTTCATCTTCTTCTCTGCATATATTTTATTATCCGTGTATGTTTAAAAATGTTCTGGTTGCCATCCTGGAAACACAAACTAAAAATATTCAGATGGTAGTGTCCAAAACAAGGGGTACCATTTGGCGTTCATAGAATTTTTAATTTTCTCTCACAGGAAAATAGAAAGCATGCTTTTTTGAAAATTGCATGGGCTGAATATTATTATTTTTGTAACTCTAAAGAGAAACAAAAACAGTCTCAAACATTTAATTAAGGTTAAGTCAGGAGATGTGAACCAGCGTCATTGCACACGGTTATAAACCATAAGTGCTCTGCCACCAGTACGGACAGCTGATAAGAAACTGTCTGCCTGTGTCTCCATTTGCATGTAACTCTGTAGCTACATCAACGTTCCTCCATTTACCCCAGAGTATCAACCCTGGTACCCATTTCCTAGAGGCTAGGTGAGACCCGGGAGCCGCCCGGTTTCGAACACCAACTGTGGGCTGCAGCGAGTCGCAGCTGGATTTGAAAGCGAGCTTCTTATCCACTGCTCTAACGCGGCCCTAATTAAAGCCATATTTGTCATGACAATATTTTGGATGCCTAATCCAACAATAAAATATCCCATGTAACAGTGTTTTAACAGTATATTTGTGGGTAAAAACTGTCGCACAAATTGTTTCTCCCCTTCTCAACAGGATTAACTTAACATATTCTGGCATACTTTTTTCTTCAATGTTTGCTATGTAGGTAAGTGTCCAAAGTGTCAGATCTAGTTTGTGAAACTCAAAACATTTATTTGTAATCATTTTTCAAATTACATGATGTTTATCGTTTTTAATGACTAATGGTAGTTACCTACTGAATAAATCTGTGTTTGCTTTATCAAGCCAGCGTTCACTTGCTGAAATCACAGAAGTTATCTACACTGCCAACCTCATACACAAGGGTGTTGTCAACCTTGATTTGCTCAGGCCTGAAGACGGGCCACTCCCAGACATGGAGTTTGGGAACAAAATAGCTGTCCTGAGTGGTGACTACCTTCTGGCGTCTGCTTGCTCAGGCCTTGCTAAACTAGAGAACCCTATAGTGAGTACAGGTGCTTTCATTTTATGAACAGCCTAAAAGAATAACTGTTATGGATTATTGAACAGAAATTGTATTGAGCCTATAATTTTAATGAATACAGAGACAAAACAGTTTTCAGGGCAAACGTTATTCTTAATTATCTTTGCCAGACATGGTCACTCACAACAAACCATAAAAGAAAATTGGTAACCACGGAAATGAGATGTCTGAGAAGGGCTGTAGGAGTGACCATAAGAGATAAGATCAGGAATGAGATCATAAGAGAACAAGTCGGCACAGAACCAATTCTGGATTACATACAAAGACAGCAAGTGAAATGGTTTGCCCACTTAGAGAGAATGCCTTGTGACACCATACCATACAAAGCATACATGGAAAGAGAAGAAGGACGTAGAGCACGAGGTAGACCAAGAACAAGATGGAAGGATAACAACTGAGAAACTCTACAACAACACGATGTGCCTATGGTCGAGGCGGCCAGAAGAGCTAGAAACAGAACCTTACATCTCCCTCGACACCCACAGCGGTAAAAGAGGAAGTGAAGAAGAGAAGAAGAATCTTTATATATGATCTCATCTTGTTCCTCTTGTGCCTTATGATCTCACAGCGAAGTTTAACTTGTGGGGGTGGGGGGTGCCTCTTTCAACTGTGTTTAGAGACTTTTGATTACTCCACTTCATTTTGTTTCAATAATTTAGACTTTATAATCTTGTAACATTTAATTCTCATTACCAAAAATGCCTGCCTGCATTTTTTTGCCAGATTGTACAGTTCATACATTTAAGGTGCCAATTTAGAAATTTTATTTGGTTAAAGCAAGCATTAAAGCTTTGTCAAAATAACTTTCTTCTTGTAATAGATAAGCGTCTTCAGTTGTCTTTGATAGCTTTCCTTCTGTTTTCATTAATAATAATAATTGATTGATCACTCATCTTTTCTCTGGGATGATATAGCCATTTATAAACTAACCCTTCTTAGTCATCTCTTATGAAATTCACCAGAGATGTTACTTTTCCCCGCCTTTATGCATACCACCAGCACACAGGTGAGTCAAGTTTAAATTTACTAACCAGAAATTACTGGCTTCAAGTAGATAAGTTTTCGGACCACAGAGTGACAAGATAATAAGGTCAAATATCTTCTTCTTCACTTCCTTTCTACCACTTCAGGTTTCAAGGGAAACATAAAAGTTAAGGTGAGTGCAATGAAATCAAATACATGTGTGAGAGTGCAGGCAAAATAAAATTAAATAATACCAGAAAGGAAAGCTTGATTTTGCTTCATTTTTTTTCAGTTGTTTTTATGCAATTCTTGTCAAACAGGTGCTAGAACAAATTGCTAGTTCTATTGGAGACATGATGTCTGCAGAATTTACTAACTGTACAGATTCCAGTGGAACACCAACAATGCCGGAGAGTTGCCGGGGTTTTTCAGACTGGCTGAGGCAGACCTACTTGTCTCTTGGCAGCTTGCTTGCCAAGAGCTGCCAGTCTGCCATGACACTTGCAGGCCACTCCACAGACTTTGAGACAATGGCATTTGCATTTGGGGAGAATGCAACTTACGCTCAACAGGTTTGTTCACATGTGTGCTAGCGAATTGTGCAACTGACCAGTTTAAATAAGTCAATTTAAGTCAAAAACAAATTCCTGTAAAACTTGGGTAGTGCTGACAAGGTGCAAGATCTATATAGTTTGCAAACTACAATGTAAGATCTTGCTTGTTTTGTTCGCTGATGGTAAAAATTCATCTTGAAGGAACTGATTACATATCGGCTTAGTTTTTCTGTGACATTTTTAATGTGGAAAAGAATATAATGAGCATTTTGGGGAAGCAAAGAATAGTATCAAGTGGGTCAGGAAGGGTCTTTAAAATCATCTGTCCTTCTGGATTTATAATTTTTATTCTAAATTCACCCGGTGAGGGCACGAACCCAACATTTTTGGGCTAGCAGATAAATGTCAGGCCACTATGCTACTGCAGCTCCCAAGCACATATGAACAAGCCTAACGAGGGAGAACAAAAACATAACTTAGCAAAGCAGGATTGGTGAAGAGAAAGCAGCATAGGCCAGCATCAGAAGACACCCCCTCCCCCTTGATGTCAGGACGGTAGAAATAAAGCTGCATATCAGTTGTGTGGAACAGTTTAACCTTTTGAACCTGTTCTTTAAAAAAAAAAAAACTTTTAAACATTTCATTAACCAAAGTGCATCCTTATAATTCTCTGAAATGCTTCCCTGAGAAACTAGAAACCGTAGACATTGTGAGTATTGGGCAGTTTTTTTTATAAATTTCCAGAGGATCGAACCCGTAGACTACTGAGCAGACAGGCAGGTGTGAAGTCATCTTCTTCTTTGGTGAAGTCACATCATCATGAATTCTCTTTATGCCTAGTGGCACATAAGAGAGAACTTTCCACGCCCTCCGGTCCTGTGGAATCTTCAGTGCGGTTTTCCATGTCAGAGGTGCAGCACTTAGTTCACTTTCCATCGTTTGTTTCCATGTTGTTTTTGGACACTCTTTATTTGTCTTACCCTCTGGTGCCCAAGTGAGAGCAGTTTTGAAAGTCACGTTACTAACAGATTTTTTTTTTTTTTTTATCCAGTCCCTAAATGAATAAACTGGGAAAAGGGTTATTTCTATGTAAAGGGAAGTCATCACTAAATACAAACTAAGCAAATAATTAACTGATTTCCATTAACCATGTAAAAGTGGTTTTAAGTCACTTTTCCGACAAAGAACAATGTATTTTCACATTATATGACATCACGGTGAGGACACAATAGAAAAAATTGTTTAGCCTAAAAACTCCGGAAATTTTCTGTGGGTAAATATCATAGTCACCATGTCTATTATATTTCCTATTTATATTGACAGTAAAGTAAAGGACCCTTTCCACACATTCAAGCCTATTGGGCATCTTGGGCAAGATTTATGGGCCAGTCAGCACTTGGTGGGTGATATGTCCAACATAATGCCGACTGCCTTTACTTCCCAGAATTCCACCTGGTACCCATTCAGGGCTGGGGCTACCTAAGAGCCAAAGACATTTTTGAAAAAAAATGTCTGATGCCACCAGGACTCGAACCCATGACCTTCCATCCTCAGGTAAGCGGCTAGCTGCTACACCATGGTGGCTTCCCATATTGACAGTGTTTTTGTTAGTATTCTGTGAACACGTAAGTTAGGCTAGTCCAAATGAAGACTGACTGAGGAGGACACATTGCCCTAAAAATGTCTAGTGGACAAATGACCCAGCTAGAAAACGCATAAATTATAAACCATAACTATGGCATGATTAGGTTTTGTTTTTCGTTTTATTTAAAACCTCTCTCTCTCTCCCTCTCTGTCTGTCTCTCTCTCTCTCTCTCTCTCTCTCTCTCACACACACATATACACACGTATACACACACACAAATAAGAGATCACTTTTGCCTATTGTCAAGTCACTTATTGATGGTGATACATTAAATCCTTTGAAAATGCACTTTTAAACGCATCCTTGCATCTAAACCTGCATACCAAGTTCGTTTGTTGGTGTTGCTGTTGAAACCTATCATTGTTTTTAATTTGCACAATGACTAAATATACTTCCAGACTCCACAGATATTGGTTTTATGCAGTATAGATCAGTAGGTGTAGTCAAAAGCTGTAGTATCTAGACTCATAACATATTCCTAGTTCATGCCATGTAGTGTTGGTAGTCATGTCTTGTCCACAGCCTTCTTTCTTGTATTCATTCACTTATTTATGGCACAGATTTTCCTTCATGCCATGATGCCAAACTGTTCTTGGTCTTCCTCAGCCTCTCTTTCCCTCTAACTTTCGCCTTTGTCTCAATATACTCCAGTTTTTACCTTTTCATGATTGGGTCAAAGAATGCAGATTGTCTGCTGAAGCAGTTAATCATTTCTGTTCATCAAAGGTATCCATGTTAACACTGTTTGTCTGTTCATGGCGATCTCAGCATTCTTCTTTATAACCACATGTCTGCAGATTCCACATAATTGTTCACTGATCGGCTGACTGTCAGTGAATTAATTTTGCATTTCGAGATTAGCTCTTAATGGCCATTGAGAATGCTCTTCCTCATCTCAGTAACCAAAGAAAGATTGCATGGAATATTCTTCATTTTGTTAACTGCTGTTGCCTTTGTTTGAACTATTTTACATTTAACTTCTTTAATACATTTTCCATCTGCTGTTATCAGAGCATCTAAATAATAAAACATTTTGACTTGCTTCAGATTTGTTCTATTCACATGATACCTGTAACATAACACCCAAAGTACACATGTGCTAGCATCACTGGAACTGAATTTGTCGACATATCCTCAAAGTCCTTATGAATGTTTCAGTTAAATTTATCTTCTCTGCACATCAGCAACTAAATATTATGAATGCAAAATCATGTCATTTCTGCAATATGTTTATATTTCTAACATATGTTTGCTTCTGTTTCATCACGCTCCGGGACTGTATGATCAGTTTATTGTAAACTTCTCAGTATTTATTTTCACTAAAATATTCTACCTCAGGTTATACCTTCTCCTAAATTACAATCTCTAGATGCTTCCTGTTAGGTTTATGTATAGGGCAGGAGGATGGAAAAGGTATAGCAAAGTCATTTACCATCAGTGGGGTGGCTAATAAATCTTGGCATGATCAGTGGGGTGGCTAATGAACCTTGGCATGGTCAGTGGGATATCTAATGGACTTTGACAATATCAGTGGAGTGGTTAATGAACCTTTGCATGATCGGTGGGATATCTAATGAACCTTGGCATGATCATTGGGGTGGCTAATGAACCTTGTCATGATCAGTGGGGTGGCTAATGAACCTTGGCGTGGTTTAATTGCTAAATGTTATTGTCTTCAGTTGTGCAAGGACATGGTACCCTTTACACAACAAGATGAGTTATCAGCTTTGACCTTGGCCTTAGCCCCCATCTACTTGTACAGAGAAAAAGTGACCTTACATGAGTTCAAACATCTTGAGGAACTATGGCAAGCCGGGCCAGCAAATTTTAAAAAGGTATGTGGTCATTTGAATTCAAAAAGGGAAAATTTTTACTAGACGTAACATACGAAAAGTTGATTTGGTCCTCTGTAATATCAGATTGTATAAGAGGACAATTTCTGCAAGAAGTTTAAAACATCAGAGCCGTCAGTGTGTCATATAACTTATTTCATAATTTGAGTTTTCTCTCAGAATAATATGGACAATCAAGAAAGTCACATAGAATGCTGTGAGCAATCCTATATTTTGTTTATCTGTGCAAGGAATTGAATTCAAAGAAATTATTTCCTCATGTTCTCCTCTGCCGCATGTATCCTGAGAATATTGCTGACACTGTGTCAGTATACAGCTGTATTCAGCTTTTAGGATGCCTTCAATATGGCATTACAAGAGCAGATTTGTGCTGGACCTGACATGTATGTTGACACATTGTCAGGGTGGCAGCCATTTATGTTCTGCTTTTTATGTCTCTGTGAGAAATGTTGAAATAATTAGTTTCAAATAAATATATAACAGAAGTGGCCACTGTGGTAGCCAGATTTGTTTAGTATGCTCAAGTTAAATGTTGAAGATCAGTGAACATATGAAGTGATGTTTGGGATTCAGTGGAAAGAGCCAGTCACACAGCATTTTTTGTTTATAATGTATGTTGTTTAAAAATGAGTATAGTTTTTTGTAAGACCATTTGGTCATCCTGCAATCTACATATTAGTACTTTTATATAGTGAAAGATACAAAGAAATCACTAGTAACTGTTGTGTTTCCAGATTGCCTCAATTATTCTGAAAAGTGGAGTTCTTGATCAAGGCAAGGAATTGTGTCTGCAACACAGGAACAAGGCAATAGCATGCTTGGAGTGTTACCCTGCCTCAGATGCCAAAGCGGCCCTCATTAATATGGTTACAGCTATGAGTGATGTTAGATAACACTTCTTTCCTAGGCTCAACCAGTTACAGTCAACTATGCAGTCCACAGTCTTCTTCTTCTGCTTCTCCTTCTATCCTTTTATAAAGAAACCTGTATCAGGAGTTTGTAATGAGAGCTATCATGCAGTCCATATCTCCTTGTGTACCATACAGCTTTGTCTTCATTGAGGTATGAGTACGCAAAATAGTTTTTCTGTTAGCAGCATACAGTTGACATTGTTGGAGCACATGCCAAGCATATTCTGGTGCCACGCTACAGTGACACATCTCCATGTTTCCTACACTGAAAAATGTGAACATATGTTAGTGAAGTCTGTTGTACGCTGTCCTTAGTCTGAGTAAAACACACTGTCACTATCTAGAGAGGCAATGAAGTGAATCTTGAGGAGAAAATTGTGTATGGGCATCCAGCTACCTTTCTTGAATACTAGATTGCAATAATGCCTTATTCTATGGGCGGATTAAGTCACTATTTGATTGCCTCATGTTGGTGCTGCTTCTGGCCAGTCAGTCCACAGTTGGTTGCCCTCCAAGCCCAAGTGACGTGGAATCCACGGCAGAACAGATTGTTCAACTGAAGAGCTCTAAGTGAATCAGCTGTTTCGTTAAGTCTACAAACTCTGTGTCTTGTGGGTTAATAATTGCTGACATAACAGTAGTCGGATTGACCAGTTTGCTCTGTTTGTTTGTTGTCTATTTGGGAAAGAACAAGCCACCAGAAGTGCATCTGCCTGTGTTTAGTAAGTTAAGGAACATGAACCTGTTAATATGGCTTGTTCAGTGTTTACATCATACAAAAAAATCAGTTTTGTCCTTTTTAGGATGAAATTTTTTGTTATTTGAAGCCCCACCCTGGCTTTTTTGCCAGGGGTCGCAATTTAGGCAGGCCATAAATATGGCCATTTGTCTGAACGCGGTTTCTGGGACTTCTCCACTGGGATCCTCATCCACATGGTGGCACTTTGTGTCATCGGGTGTTTATCGCTTGTGTGATGTCCTAGTGGGGTAGAAAGTCAGTCAGTTTACACCATTTAGGCATTCAATGTATATTCTTCCTCCTCCATCTCTGATTTCCTCTTGGCTGAGCCACTTGTATAAACTATAATGCAACTCTGATGTGGATAGTCTGTTGATGTCTTTTTCTGTAAGGGACTTGGTAGCACAGCTGCTCAAAGATGATTTGGAGATCCCAGTTGTAGTGGTTCTGTCTGTTGGCATGTTGTCTGAGGGGGGGGGGGGGGTGTCAGCAAGCTTGGCTGGCATTTGCTTTCTGGATGTAACATGTTCTTTTTAGTCTACCCTTCTGGGGTTTCTGATGTTTTTGCAATCAGCCATGCATGGATTGTTCTCTCAAGTGGTGGTATTTGGAGCTGCATGGCTCTCCTGTCTTCCAGATCATGGAGACTAGTTGAATGTTTCCATGTCTGATATAGGCGTGGAGTGCATAGTCCCTCTCATAATGGATTATGTGGTTTTGAATCTTTGAGACCTTTTGAAAATTTAATATAGCAGATGTGTTGTCCCAAGCAGGTATCCCGAATTCAAGTGTTGGCCTCACATAGTCTGTATAGGTTCTGTTGAGGACACAGGTTTGCCCCCCTTCTGCTTCAGCTAATTTCCTCATCAGTTGAGTTCTCTTGAGTCCTTTGCTCTGATTCGTTTCTATTTTATTTTTTATGTTTCTTGGGTCAAATGTTACTCCTAAGTATGATAGGGAGTCATCAAGTTTCAGTGCCTGAATTCTGTGAGTGAGTAAAGCTAAGTTTCACAGAGTGATTGCAGTTACTGTGTAGATAGTTGCATTCTGCACACCTTAGCCTAATAAAGGTAATGGGTTAGTCCAGGTATCTTTGTCATCTTAATGGCCCTATCTGCTTATTAGTATGTGCAAGACAGTAATGGGGCAACTAATCTCCCCTGCTGACACACAAGCAGATACCTCGGAGTACTATAGTCAATCTTATCAGAACTATTTTTTGGCCAACACTATGCTATCAATGCCAAACGTGGACACTTACATCCTCCAATGAACGTAAAATTGTGACAACAAAGATTAAATGCCTTAGAAGAGCTACAGGAGTTTCACGTACGACAGAATACGAAATCATGAAATCAGACGAATGCTAGGAATAAAGCCATTCTTACAGGTCATCAAAGAACAACAAATGAAGTAGTTTGGACACCTAACAAGAATGCCCTGGTACTATCTGCCACCACAGCGAGCCACTCTAAAATGTTACAACGGGTATAGAGCGAGTGGAAGACCTCGGAAAATATGGAGTGATGGCATTAAGAACAGTCTTACAGAAATGAGCATCATTTTTAATAGTGCTCTTGATAGAGCTCATCAACGAACATTACATCTCCCCCCCCCCCCCCCCCCCACACTTCGATGAGGTACAACATGGAAGAGAAGAAGATGAAGAAGCAAGACAGTTTATATTTAGTGTGTTAGAATATCCATTAGGAAATATAACACATATATAACTAAATAAATTTAGTAGGATAATGAGAGAATAAGTTTTATGTGTTTTTGTGTAATATCTGTTCACAGGGACGGACCCGATTGATTAATCATTCATGTTTTCACTTCTGCAGTGCTCAGAACAAAAACAAATTGAAAAGTGATGGGCAAAAAAAAAGTAAACAGCTGTAAATCTATTGAACCAGTAACTCATTTGCATTGACCCAGTCATGGTCATGACATACTCACTCATTCATCATTATATAACGATGGGATTTGAACAGAGAAGATGCACAACTTATTGCTTAGTTATTGCTTCTGTATCTCGTCGCATACATACTGCAGAATTTAAATAGCTCAAACAAAAGTATGAAACATTGCTTTCATTGTGATTTGTTCTGTCATGTGACTTTTGTGGTAATTTCACCATGGTTCTCGGTACTTTCCACGGTGGATAATCTAAGTATTGAAATAAATAAGTACTAACAGGATGAATAAAATTAATTATAATGAATAAAGTGGGTCTGCGATAGTGTATTGGTTATACCAGTGTTTCCCACAGTAGGAGCTAATGCTGCCTTGAGAGCACCGAGGCTCACGAGGAGATGGTAGCTTCGCCTAGAGGGTTTAGGGACCTTAGGGTCAGATAAACGCAGTGAATAAACATAAGGTAGTGGTGGAGACATCGAAGACAGAAAGAAAAAAGACTTTTAATTAAATATCCTACGCAAGGCCAGGAAAAAAATATAGTGTGTGTGGTTGTGCCTTTACATGCTAAGTAAGTGGTGTTTTATTCTCTTTCTCTTTATTGTTTTGGGCCCTTGAGCTTAATTGCTGCAGACACCACCAGGCTTTATAGCATGGAACAAGAAGAACAACACTGACATGGTCTGAGCATTGAGGAGAACAGGTTCATCAACAGCATCCAGACAATGGCTTGAATCATTACAGAAGTCCACTGTGCGTGGAGTCACCTTTATTTTTGTTCCGGGACACGCAGGCGTCGATGGAAATGAAAGAGCTGACAGGTTGGCTGGATCCGCTATCACTACCGACGGTCAGCCTATGGATCATGCTGATATTATCAATGCTCTCAGAGAAATGGGAAGGATAGTGGACTTTGGTGGCAGTGAATCCACATCACTCGCCAGAATGGCAGACTTGGGAATTAAGATCGGCACAGCAAAAAACGAGACGCACACCAGAAGACTTGTTAATCAACATAGAACTGGTACTATTAGCCATTGGACGTTGGGGTTCATACTGAGGGGATGATCTGAGCACCTATGGACATGTCCGGAGTGCAATGAGGATAACCCAACTAACTAACTAACTAAGGTTCATAAACAGCATCCTGTCCGGAAAACAGGTATTCTGACCTCATTAAATGTCCTGATGGCTTGGAGAGAATAGTAATGGAGGATTCCATAAAAATTCAGAGGCAGACCTGCTGAAATGAAGACACCATTATATACATTGAAGTTGCCTTCGCTGTGAAAACATATAGGGCCAGTGAAAAAGTTGTGGGTGTGCCATGATGAGAGCAAGGTTCTGTATAGGACTTGATGACGATGATAAGCAACCACCTCCACTTATCTCTGACTGGCTTTCTCTGCCCAGTTGATGACTCCGTATTTGCAGGTCTGCTTGTAAATTATCTTTCTATCGTCTTGGGAACTAACAGCTTCTCTCTCCCCCTCTCCCTGTCTATCTCTATGTTGTAATTGTAACAGACGCTGAAAGCATGCTGAGAAAGGTGAAGACAAAGATGCTTCGAGCAGAGTGGCAAGTTTGACTCTCCATGCCATGCTGGCATAGTGGGTAATGAACAGGAAAACAGATTGGCTGGATCTACACAACTGGGTGGTGAATTGATACATAACAAGGAAGATGTGGTCAAGGCCCTTTGGGAACATCAACGGAATCAGTTTAAAAAAAAAAAAAGATTTTTTTTTTGGGGCCTGACATATAACGAAAAATAACCAGATTATGACAGGTACCATCAGTATATGAACTCTGCCCTGGCTGATGAAGTTGGAGTACGCATGGAAATGCCCTAAGTGCTGTGATGTCTATTCTTGACTCAACTTAACTCTCTCTCTCTCTCTCTCTCTCTCTCTCTCTCTCTCTCTCTCTCTCTCTCTCTCTCTCTCTCTCTCTCTCTCTCTCTCTCTCTCTCTCTCTCTCTCTCTCTCTCTCTCTCAGTGTAAGTATTAAAATGCGGTTCTCTTATGAGTGAGATTGCATCTTAGAAATGAACGAACAGGTGGTGGTATAATTTTAGTTTAAAGCACATCTAAATGGAAGACCAGAAAATAAATACTGTATAACAGTGCTACTGGGAGCACTGAGGTGTAAAAACCGGAAATCCTGGTCTGTCACGACAACGGTTCCACGAAAGGAAGGGAAATACATGTTCAATATTTGCCATGTAAATGTCTTCCCGGAGATGGTAAAATGACACGCTGTAACTTAACGGGTAATGATTTGTACAGGGTGACTAAATAATGCAACTGTGAGCATTTGTGTGTGGCTG